GTTGGGTGGGATTTTTATACATCCAAAAAAATACATACACTCATTGAGAACCTCCTTCTTTTTGAAGTCGGTTAATAAAAAGGATGGTAAACGAGTACAGTTCACTTGATGATAAGTGGATGCTAAGGCTCATAGATATCGTCGTTTAAGAATCAAAATGCAGATGTGTCGGCACTCCCGAGGTATAAAAGGGTATAGAGAGCCATTAAAATTACAGGTTGTGAGGCATTCTAACTTAGTCTTCGGAGTCTCTTAGTTCATCTCTTAGATGTCAGTGGGCTGCAGTAACCATTTACCAACAGGTGAACTGTAAGTTTATTCGTCACTTTAGTTTTATATAAAATATATATAATATATCATCACCATTTTTATAATATAAAGGATGGGAAATATAATTGTGTGTAATATAATTGTAAATATAAAGTGGTTGCTGCGGCCCTTTTTACTGGAAATGAGGCATTCCATCTTAGTTCTCACGGGTGACAACGCATCTGCATTTTGATTCGCAAGCGAAGATAGATATAGATGTCTATGGGCCGCAGCAACCACTTACCATCAGGTGGACTGTGTGCTCGTTTGTCACCCTTATCATATAAAAAAAAATATAATTAGTGATATCAGTTAGCATTTCATTAAATTAATACCAAGCAAGGTAACTACTTCGATGAAATGCGTGCGTGATCCGAATTATTTACAATACGATAAATTAGTTATCTGCTTCGCACACTGTTCTGTATATCTAACTCTAAATTCACATGCTAAGGACCAAAGGCTTGATTACAATCATTTTATTTTTGTCGGGTATAATTAATTCGGGTCAGCGACAAAACAAACAAGTTTCAATTGTGTACAGGTATTTTGGGAACCCGCTTTAAATAAGGGAAAGGTTTTAAATTAAATATGAGGTTCTCTGATTTTTGAGTAGGTGAACATTAAACAGATAAAGGTTATTTTTACTGATGTGTGCACCGTTAGCCTTATACATATCGTATTTGAGGTGTTTTAGTAATGTTTATTAATTGAATTTACTTTATAGAATAAGGGATCAAACAAACATACGCTCTCATAATGCTAAGCGGATGCTGTGGCTCATAGACATCTACATCTATCCTCGCTCTCTTTCTCTCTCTCTCTCTCTCTCTCTCTGTCTCATCTATATCTATCTATGCGTTGTAGGTACCCCTGAAGACTTAGATTGAATGCCTTGTTCGGGACTTCGGTTCTTTAATGTCACCATACGAAACAGGAGCATCATTATTCTTTCCCGGATCGTACCGACCCATTCGTCCCAACCATAATATGGCCATGTTCTTTTTGTTCCAACCATGTTGGAACATGGCTCTAACATGTGTATTTATTATTTGTAGTATTTTTAAAAACTCCAAGTCCGAATACATTTAAATTGTACGGCAAGTACTACCTGTTTACATTTCTGATATAACCATTCGAATCATTGCTGCAGCATTCAGCTCGGAGTAATAACCATTCGAGGAAATTGAAATGCATGCAGTAACTGGTGTTGTTATTATATCAATTTGTATTTAATTCCTTCATGATTTTTATAGATTGATATGGTAACTTTTATTATCTCATCGATTATGACATCTATGATTCTAGTTAATATAACAGTACTAGATATAATAGTGATCGTTTTATGCGTGGTAGAGCTATGTACCAGCTATATAGTTGTAGCACGAATGGGTCGGCTCGACAGGGGTAAGACAAAATAGCAGCTTAATGCTGCTGTGTTTCCTATGGTGAGTGTAGCGAAACGGAGACACTTTCTACTGGAAACGAGGCATTCCAGCTTGGTCCTTAGAGATGACAACGCATCTGCATTTTGATTTTTAATCGAGGTTAGATGTAGATGGCTATGGGCTTCAGCATCTACTTATTATCAGGTGGAATGTATGCTCATTTGATACTCTTATTCTATAAAAAAAGTAGACAGGTAATAGATACAAGGTCTTACTCATAAAAATCAAAGTAAATTTAAAAAAAAGTGTGTGTGTTAGCTCCGATGCACGACTGGAGCTTACTCCGTACGAACGATTTAATACCAAAACTCCGCAAGTTAACAGTTGTTTGACAGTTGTTATTTGTTTATATAAAGTAGCACAGCCGAGAGTACTCTGTGCGGGGGGCTGCGCAAGGTAAGTTGCGCTCGATATTACGTAGTCATGGAAACATGAATACATAACGTAACGCATGACGTAACGTTTGATTTTACTCCCCATAAATTTTCATACCCCGGCCTTATATATGAAAATCGATTCCTCCAAAAATTCTTAAATTTAATCTCTCTCTCTCTCTCTCTCTCTCTCTCTCTCTCCCTCTTTCTCTGCTCCGAATGAAAATAGAAAGAGACAGTATATACATGCTGTTCGATTTTGTCAAAAAAATTAAGATCGTAGTAAATTGGATGTCACTACGCAAATAATAATAATAATAATAATAACAATAAGAAGGCGTAGGGAAGTGACGACCCCATCGCCCGCTGACGTAACAGTTAAGTGACAAAACTGCTATGTCAGCGCAGTCAGTCAGTGCCTTGCCAAGAGGTGTGAGCGCCGTGCAGTATTGAGGGTGCAAAGGCCCGTTTGTGCTTACGGCCACACTATTAAACGGCGCCGGGTCTGGGCGTCTCCCGTTAATTGACGCCCAATTTAATGGATGATGGAAAATAATAGAACGCGCATAGGGCCGCTGCCTGGGGGTCGCCGGGGCGCGTCTGGAGCTGGCGCTGGACGTGACAGCATGCGAGCCGCCAGCCGAGCGCGAGGTGCTGCACGACCACCTAGCAGTCCCTCGCGTCCATCATCCCCACCAAACGGCTTGGTGTCGGCGGGGTCCTCTCGGACTCGGCAAGCGGCACCCGCCGCTGGTGGAGTACGCCGCATGCATTGGACAAAAAATATGAACATAAACGTATTGCGGGCGTACTATAGGGCGAAAGGGGAAGAAACTGGAGGGATAGCGTATCGGGCTCGGATGCATCGCTTTTTTGCTGAGCTTGAGCCGTCAGTTCCCGTCACGGAGCAAAACCTGGCAGACCGAGTTCGGTACATCATACGCTCGAAAATATTTGATGATGCCGAACTCGAACGACTATGACGTGAGGCTATTCCCTCATCGAATGAACCGGCTATAGCTGGGGATGCGGCTCTTCAGGCCACAGACCAGCAGCCACATATAGAGGGCGCCATGGATCTCCCTGCTCTGGTTGATTCAGGCGATGATGGAATGGTCACCCAAGAACTAGAGCATATGAGGAGTAAATTGGAGGAGGCGATTGTGGAAACGCGCAGTACGCCTCTCGAAAATCGACCGCGACTCCCGCGCATACCCCTAAGCAAGCGGAATCGGGCTGTCGTGAGGGCTCTCAACCCAATGCTGGTGACCTATTTGGAAGCCAGCCGGGACCTTTGCGAGACGGACTCAATTCTTTTTGGCGCCGCACTGGCAGTTTGCCGTATTGTTGGCGCCAAACTTCCCACGGCTGGACGCGCTACTAGACAAAGTAGCGCCATCCCAGCCTGGAGAAGAAGGATTGAGGACCGTATCGTAAAGGCAAGGGCCCTCATCGGCAGGCTGATAAGCTTCAGGTCGGGCAATAATAGGCCGCGAATTATGCGCACCGTCAGAATGGCGTTTGCTGGGACAAATATCAGTTTGTCCCAGCCGGATATAACGCAAAAACTGACGGAGCGCATAGACGACCTGAAGCAGAGAATCGCTGCTTTTCATGATATTTTTTATGAAATTATCGTTTCATTTAGCTGTACTAACATGATGGCGCGTGAATAAAGCTAATAAAACGTTGTAAAAAGATGATTTTTTTTTCATCAGGATCGAATTTATTTGTGACCCATGATCAAAGGTATACTTGGTGTTGTCGCCTGTCTTAGTTTTCGGGAGCATTCCAAAAATACCCTGTATGCGAATCCGCCTTCAAATCGTAGCACCGTAAGAACCGTAGTCGTGTCGTGCCCGTAAAATACAATACAATATCTTTATTTCAGGCATCAAGAACTTCGAAACAACATTGGCCCATAGGAATATATTAAACCTTAACCTAAAATATATAAAAAACGTAAACATAACACAATTTAGGTAAATTTTTTCTTTGGCTGTAACGGCGATACACTACCAGAGGCCGAGGAAGGGGAGCGAGAAATGTTTATTTGTATTTTGCAGGAACCTAGTGTACGTAAGATTTGAAATTCGTTGACCTATTAGACTTCAGACGCTGCAAATGTACAGAGATGGGATCCGCAATGCGGCATCGGCTTCGTTCTTCCACGAAACGGAGGACATCTTCTCCCGACGTACTTTTGTCCAAACGGAAAATGTAGAGCTGTATGGTGGGCTCCCAACACAGTTGTGCTTGCAGTTATTTTGGCGGTTCCACTCTTATTCCAAGCAGGTCTTGACCGACGTCTCCTCTCAAGAAGAGTAAACCCGTCGTTATCAATCTCGTTTAGGGTCTTACAGTACACCTTACAGTGCTTCCAGATTCACTGTAATTACAGTAGATCTACTGTATTTTAGACTTTTCTACTGTACACTGTAAGGGTAAAATACAGTGTATGGAATATACTGCATTTAATTTTAAAGCAATATACTGTATTTAACTTTCATATAGCTTTATCAATTTGAATACGTAAAACGGAACGCAGCTAATCTACACCCAGCAAACGTAGTGATTATATTCTCTTTGACACCCACTGACATTTTTTCATAGACAATGTTGTAACAAAATTGCGGGTAATTCCCTGGCAAATCGGAAGTGACGTGGAGCACTCTGGGACGCAACTAGCAATAAGTAACAGTCTCTGTCTTAAAAAGGAACATAGCGTTTTTCGTCTAATTCTTTACACTTAAACTGGTTTTGCCCTGGTGCATACATTTTTGTGAGATCCAAACTTTTTAATTGTTTTGGGTGATGTGAAATGAAGTCTAAACTATAACTTACAGTGACTAGCGATATTACTGTAAAAATGAGCTCAAGCAGTGAGGAAAGTTATGTGCGTAGCGATGCTGGTCCGATAAGAGCTAAAAAGAAATATCGGCAACAATTCCGTGATGAATGGCTCCAAATACAAGACTACCGTAAGTGGTTAACACGTGATAAAAAGTCGGCTTATAAATGCATTTGCACTGTTTGCGATTCTTCTTTGATTTCTGATCTGGGTGCAATTAAAAGACACAGTGAAAGTGCTAAGCATAAACTTCGTCTTCCTGGCCTATCGCATGTGCGTACCATTGATAATATTTTTAAAAGTCAACAACGTGGAAGTGATGATGATCAGCGGAAAATTACAGAATTAAAATTATCGGCTTTTATGGCAGAACATAAAATATCGCACATAGTGATGGATCATCTCGTTGATGTACTTCCAAAAGCTTTTCCAGATTCTAAAATCGCAAGTAATATCAAACTTAAACACACTAAATTACAAGCAGTAATAAATAACGTTATCGGAGCTTCTGAAGGAGAATGTTTAGTCGAAGATTTAAAATGCGTAAAGTTCTCTATAATGGTAGATGAAAGTACCGATGTTGCCAGTGTGAAAACAATGTGTGTTGTAGTCAAATATTATGATTCTAATTTAGGACGTATCATCAGTCGATTCTGGGACCTTATTCAAATATTTGATGATAAAAAAGCTGGAAAGTCTGGTGATTATACAGCTACGGCTGAAAAATTATTTAATTTAATAATAAAATCATTTCGAGACAAAAATATACCCTTAGAAAATATAATAGGGTTTGGTTCCGATGGATGTAATACGATGATGGGGTGCCATAATTCAGTGTCCTCACGATTTAGACAACTATGCCCAGGTATTATCGTGATCAAATGCCTTTGCCATTCTTTACATTTGTGCGCTTCCGACGCTTGCAAAGAATTGCCTCACGATGCAGAAAAACTGACTCGATTGATATACAATTACTTCAAAAATAGTAGCAAACGTCAAGCAGAGTTAAAAGAATTTCAAGCATTTACAGACACTAACATACACAAATTGCTACGTCCAGCCCAGACGCGTTGGTTGTCTCTATCCAGTGTTGTGAACAGAATTATGGAGCAATGGGACGCCTTGCGATTGTTCTTCGACGATAAATGGCTGGAAGACCAAGATTGCCAAGCCATTCACATTCTTTTGAGTGATCACATCATCAAGGCATATTTTTATTTTGTTATGTTATATGCTGTCAAAATTTACCCGCGTCAATGTATATTTTCAAAACGAAGATCCGGTTATTATCGAAGCCCATAACAAAATGACAGAGCTATACAGAGAACTGCTATCCTTATACATAACTCCGAATCATATAAAGAACACCCCACTCGACGCAATTGATCCTACTGATAGTCAACATTACATAAATCTGAAAGATATATACCTGGGATTGGGTGTTGCTAATCAAGTTTCTCTCCCAGAGCTACATGCAAGTACCGAAGAAGTTACAGTGCTGAAACAGAAATGCCTGAATTTTATCGTTAAAGCATGCGTGGGTATTCGGAAAAGATACAGCTTGAATGACCCAGTTTTGAGCTCAATCGCAAAGTTGGATCCGGGTTCTTGCTTATCTGATAATAGACTACAGTCTTTGTCGTCACTGTTCCCAGTGCTGCCAAGGTTTAAACCCCAAACTTTAAATGATCAACAGACGTTAGATGACGAATGGAGAAACTTAATGTTGACTGCAAATGAACTACATTTGAATACAAATCAACCAGCAGACGTGTTTTGGCATCAGGTATAATTTTACCATTTAAGAACTTTACGTAATATTGCACATATATTATCATTTCACAGATTTGTTTTTTTTTCAGTTGTCTCAAATCAAAGATAGCAACGGCGATAATAAATACCATTTTCTGCCTCGTTTTATGGTTCAAGTTTTATCGTTGCCTCACTCAAACGCTGAGTGCGAAAGAAAGTTCAGCGAAATAAATAATATAAAAACAAAGCAGAGAAACTGTTTAGTCACAAATACCATCAAAGGCAACATGCTAGCTCAGCAAGCTATTCAGCGGACTTCCGAAAATTGCGTGAATTTCAATCCAACTAAGGAAATGATTTCAAGGATGACAGCAAAGATTTATGAAAATCATGAGCAAATTGTTATGGAATAAGAAAATAAATAATATTTTTTTGTATCTAAATGTATATTTTTATTTATTTAATAAATTATAGCAATTTGTATTGATAAACAAAGTCATAAAGCAGCTTATTTTTCTATCAATATTTAAATAAAGTTTTATTGTAATTTTACTATAATAGATTTTGAAATCTGCTGTATAGTTTTTAGAAACTCCTGTATTTTTTAACTGGCAACACTGTAATTTTACTTTTGTAATCTGGAAGCACTGCCACCTTAAACCACTGTAATTATATACTCAAAGTCACCACGGGAACTGATTCACGAGGGTGCCGATCTTGAAGTTTTTCAAGAAATATCCACAAACGTCTTCCCTTGTCGTAAGGTTGGCATCGGCGGAGCAGAATTCGTGGGTTCAGTCGAGGGCTGAGGTGTTTTTATGTCCGGTGGAGGCAAATGCTCCATGTACTATAAGTACTGTAATTTTAATACAGAATACAGATTATTTTTAAATGTACAATTGTTACATTATAGAATAAAGGTAATAAACGAGCACACAATCTATCTGATGGTAAGTGGATGCTGCGACCCATAGACATCCACATCTATTCTCGATTAAGAATCTAAACGCAGATGTGTTGTCACCCGTGAGGACTAAGATGGAATGCCTCGTTTCCAGTAAAAAGGGTCTCCGGTTCTCTACACTCACCATACGAAACACAGCAGAGTTATGTTGCTATTTTACGCTGGTATTCTGTGAGAGCGTGGTTCTTCACCGGTCGAGCCTACCCATAGTCATCCATATCTATTCTCGATTAACAATCAAAACGCAGATGCGTTGTCAACCCTGAGGACTAAGATAGAATGCCTCGTTTCCAGTAAAAAGCGTCTCCGGTTCTCTACACTCACCACACGAAACACAGCAGCATCAAGCTGCTATTTTACGCTGGTATTCTGGGAGAGTGAGGTCCTACTAGGTCGAGTCGACCAATTCGCGCTAGAACCATAATTATACCACGTCAAATTACTTTGAATACAAATACTCCTAAATCCTTCTTTAATTATTAATAGTAATTTGAAGGTATGAGATGTAATACCAAGGCCAACGAGAAGAAACAGCGTCAAAGGTGCAACTAGTCTGTGACTGCCTTTTCCAAATGCACTTTGCGAAGTACGAAATAAATATGTAAACACCACACTAAGATTTCCTTCTGTATCTTTGAGGCACGATGCAGAAGAATTTTATACATAAATTGCACAAAAACAAACACCCAGACCCGCAACAATTATTTGTAAGCCATACAAATGCTTGTTTAGTGCAGGTTTCGAACCTGCGATTCCTCAGCGCCGCAACTTAATGTTATGCCACTGCGACATAGAGCCATTAAAACTAAAGGGGCATAATGGGAAACACTAAAAAGATAAGGCTTTCGGAAAATATTAATCCATCGCAATAGCACCTAATATAAAAATACCCAGACCAATAACAGGAAGCAACATAAGATATTCAGGCGTAACAGGTAAAAATTTATATTGCATAGGTAGAACTATAGTTCTAGCCAGACATCCCTGACCAGGGCTAATTCAGCTGGCTGTTTTTTTTTAATAAATACAATTCTTTAGTATTTCACAATACACTGTTTCCAGATGTTTGGAATATTGAGAAACTCACAAATTATTCTCTGATTTTGAATAATATAGGCATTTATGAGCTATGTGATGCTTTTTGTGATCAGTATTTACATTAGATGGTAATACTTCTTCATAAAAGTCCAGATCAGCTATACTCAACCTGCGGCCCGCCGGGCCTTTGTGATTGGCCCATCTGAAGTTCCAAATGTATATAATACTGATGTGGTGCTACAGGGAATGGAACTATTAATTTCATCATCTGTGGTATCGGAGGCAGATCTCAGCCTTGGTTTGGTCGCTTAGTAAACAGGAGTGTTATCAGGCCTGGGCTGAGGCTTCGGCGGTTCGGGATGTAAACACCAGTATGCTTAAAAAGAAGTATAACTTCGCCTCCAGGTCCTTCAGAAGAGTTATTGCCAAGGCAAAGGCAGAAATGGCGAGAAATTAGTTCGTTTTGGTCTCTCGCCGTAGCTGTTCAAGGGAATTTCTGTAAGCCATTGCTACCATCTCTACACAGGGAGGACGACTCACTGGCCCACGCCGCAAAAGAGAAAGCCTACCTTTAAGGCTCCCTTTTTGCGTCCAACTCGACTCTCGATGACGGGGGAACACACCGCCGACCATCCCAAAGTGTGATTGCTCTATGCTTGATGTGCGATTCACTCAGTGCTCAGTACGCAAAGCACTCCTCTCCCTGCACTTCACAAGTCGAGTGGGCCTGACGGAATCGCGCCAATTGAGCTGAGGACGTGCGCTCCAGAGTTGGCACCGGTTCTAACGTGTCCTTTCCGGTACTCCTACTCCCTAGGCGTAGTTCCGAATTCATGGAAGACAGCTTTCGTGCATCCGATTCCTAAAAAAGGTCTCTAATCCGTCCAACTACAGGCCTATCGCCATTACCTCCTTGTTCTCCAAAATAATGGAGTCCATTATTAACTGCCAGCTCATGCAGTACCTTGAGGACCACCAGCTGGTTAGTGACCGCCAGTACCGTTCCCATTGTGGGGTCGCTCAGCTGGTGATTTTTTTGTTTACCTAACACATAGATGGGCGCAAGCGATCAAGTACAAGGGTGAGGCATAGGCCGTTAGTTTGGACATAGCGAAGGCTTTCGATTAGGTCTGGCGCAAAGCGCTTCTTTCGAAGATTCCTTCCTAAGGGCTTCCCAAGAACTAGTGCAATTGGATCAGCAATTTTCTGACTGATCGGAGCATCAAGGTCGTAGTAGACGTTGCGTGTTACGATTACAAGCCTATTAACGCTGGTGTTCCACAAGGCTGCGTGCTATCACCAACGCTGTTTCTTCTACATATCTATGATATGTTGCAAACCGGTAACATTCATTGCTATGTGGATGACAGCATTGGTGACGCTCTATACACCGGCCGTGCCAATATTTCTCGGGAAAACGTCGCCGAGTACCGGAACAAACTTGTGTCTGAAGTCGAGTCTCTGCTGAACAAAGTCTCGAATTGGGAGTGACTAAATCTAGTCCAGTTTAATCCTCAGAAGACACAAGTATGCGCGTTTACTGCTAAAAAGAACCCCTTTGTCATATCTCCTCAGTTTCAAGGCACTCCCCTTGTTGCCTCAGACAGTATCGGAATCCTCGGCGTCGACATATCGAGTGACGTGCAGTTTCGTGGCATTCTCAGCAGACTGAGGGGGACAGTATTTCATGCCGGCACACCGCCTGCAACTTTACTAGGCGCAGGTTCGGCCTCACATGGTGTACTGTTCCCATCTCTAGGATGGGGCTCCCCGCAGAGCGGCTCGAATCGTCAACGACCGAGTCGTGTCCGATCGGCTCGATTCACTGGCGCTGCGAAGAGATGTTGCATCCCTTTGCATTTTCTTTTGCATCTACTATGGGGAGTGCTCTGAGGAATCGTTCGGATTAATCCCAGCCGCCAAATTTCACAAACGCACATCGCGGCAAAATTTCCAATACCATCCACATCATTTGGATGCATGGCGGTCCACCACTGTGCGTTTTATCAGGAGTTTTCTTCAACATACAACCTCTCTGTAGATTACCTTACCACCGGCAATTTTTACGAACCGACATGACTTAAGGATCTTCAAGAAAAGAGCTTACTCCTTTCTAAAATGCCGGCAACGCATCTGCAATTTCCCTGGTGTTGAAGTTGTTCATGGGCGGGGGTAGTCACTTACCATCAGGTAAGCCGTATGCTCGTTTGCCGTCGTCTCTTACAAAAAAAACCCACAGGGGACGGTTCCAATATTTCGGAAGAAAACTGTTCCATAATTCCAAATTATATAACTGCACTTTTAAACGAATTTCGAAAAAGTTTTCAAAACCTAAGAAAAATAAAAAAAAGTTTGTTACTTAGAAAAAATCCATGGCATTTAGAAACAACGACTATCTCAGAGTTGGCTTCAGTTTTGAATTGTAATTATTCAGAGTTGTTTTAAGCATTCATTGATTTTGAAAACGAAACCAATCTAGAAGGTCTGTTTAAAGAAAAAAGAGCAAACAGGGAATATGTGGAATTTCGGAGTATTTTTATTTTCTAACAGTGGTAGAGCCACGCGGCAGCTTTTGCTGTCGCACGGATGGGCCGGCTCGAACCGGGGTAGTACCACGACCTCACAGAAAAGCAGCGTGAAGTAGAGGTTTACCTCTGCGTTTCGCTTGGTGAGTGCAGGTGGCCGGAGGCCCTTTTTACTGGAAATGAGGCATTCCATCTTAGTCCTCACGGGTGACAACGCATCTACATTTTGATTTGTAACAGAGGATAGATGTAGATGTCTATGGGCCGCAGCAACCACTTACCATCAAGTGGACTGTGTGCTCGTATATCACCCTTATACTATAAAAAAAAAAAATTCCCCAAAAATATAAAAGTGTCCAAAGATATTCCCAAATACTACTAACATTCTTTGGGTCTACATATATATGCAAATCGTCTTTTTCAAAAATGAAATACATAAAGAACGTGTACAGAAACAAACTTACAAATTCTCATCTGGATGATGTAATAAAGATGCAAAGAAAAGAAAAGTATGTAGTGACTAGTCAGATCTTGAAAAAGTTTTGAAAAAGTGTTCACAGTATCAAAAATTGCATTAAAAGATATAAACATCTTTGTTACAACTTCGGTTTTCATAAATAAAGTAAATACATTGTTAACTTGGAATTACGTTTTAATTAAGACCTAAATAATTTTTACTTGCGGCCCTCGAAACCATGACTAAAACGTGTTTGTGGCACCTATAAAAAAAGGTTGAGTATGGCTGGTCTAGCAGGTCCATCTGAGCAGTGTTGTAACCACTCAGTCTACCTGATGGTAAGCAGCTTTTGCAGCTCATAGACACCCAACTTCAAATTAAGAACATTTGTAGATGCATTTTCATTTGTGAGGCCTAGGATAAAATGCAATAACACTGGTTCTATACACTTCAGATGGAAGCTATTCAGCAGAAAATGATTTCTACCACATAGTTTATTCACCACTACCTTAGTTATTAATGTTTGAAATCGTACTAACTCATGCTTAACTAAAACTTCAAAAATCAATTACATTATTCTATATTTATCTACTCGAATATCATACAACTCAACACAAGAAAAGTATTTCCATAACATTAATGAAAAAAATTGATAAGCATCTCTATAATGTGTCAAACTGCTTTTGTTGTACAGTTGTAAAATGCAATAATATAAAGAAAAATCTACGCTTTGTACACATCAGTATGTTTATAGTTAATTTTCTTATCCAGTCCGAGTAGTTGTCGGATGATGAATTCGGGCAAACGCTTGTGTCTCCAGCGGGTTGGCAAAGGAGTGTGATTGGCCCTCTCAATCTTACTAGCCACATATTGCTCTGCAGAAAACTCATTTGCTGCTTTAATCATGGCTAGCAGTTCGTTTTGGAAGATCTTCTCCTTCATCTGACGTCTGTTTTTTTTAATCTGTAAATCATAAATACATAATATCAAGTCCTTGAGATATAACTAGAAAATAAACTATTTTATTTTTATTCAATAAAGATTATAACTAATAGTTTTTGTAAGTCATCTTTAAGATGAAATTTCCACTGGTTTGGAAAATACCAGTGTCTTAGAAAGAATCAGTAAAAAATCGAGTTACAATTTTTAAAGATAAGAACAGTTTAAAATTATGTCTTATGTTATACAATGCCCATTTAGTGGCAGTGTAATACTATCCACCACCCAATATCATTCCATGGGTATCGTTAGAGGCGACAGAGGGAAACAAATCAGGAGATGGGCAGCGGCTTCTTCCTAATAACGACTAAAAAATAAAAAAATGCAGTTGCCAACCCGCTTGCCAAGCATGACAGCTATGGCAATTATCCCTATATCCTATGAGGCAATCTAAGGGAGAGGCCTAAGTTCAGCAGTGGACTTTAATAGTGTGTTATGAACGAATGATGTTGTAACAAACGAACAATGTAAAAACCGATGAGAAAAGTAGTATTAAATTATATTTGAACATTCGTTTTTCATGTGTTTAATTACAGTTGACCGGCTGTATGCCAACAAACGTTTTGCAAGGTGGTGTCGAATTATAAAATTTGTCAGATTACAGAGTACTACCACAGCCCACTGGTAGTCTAAAACTTTTTGAAAAAGAGTACCTTGTAATTTGACAAAACTAAAAATTTCATGTGATGCACAATGAATACCTAAGCAGTAAATAATGAATGCCCGCTAGCCGCTACCATAGTCACATTTAAACTGAGACAATATGCGTCAAGCTAGATTTGTGGTGACGGGAACTAATTGCAACCTGTTTGTCCATGTATACAGGAAGGATACCTCCCCCGTGGAAGATTCATAACGCAACTTGATTGTACCTACATGTTAAAGGCATGTCAGATTTTTTTTTTTATAGGATAAGGGTGACAAACGAGCACACAGTCCACCTGATGGTAAGTGGTTGCTGTGGCCCATAGACATCTACATCTATCTTCGATTAAGAATCAAAATGCAGATGCGTTGTCACCCGTGAGGACTAAGATGGAATGCCTCGTTTCCAGTAAAAAGGGTCTCCGGTTCTCTACACTCACCATACGAAACACAGCAGCGTTAAGCTGCTATTTTACGCTGATATTCTGTGAGAGCGTGGTCCTTCCCCGGTCGAGCCGACCCATTCGTGCTACAACCATAATATAGCTGCAGCATGGCTCTACCACGTGGAAGATAACAAGTGGCGGATTAGCCAGGGGCCGGTTTACCGGGGTTACTCAACTTAATACATATTTAGTACTTACTCTAGCCCAACGGTGTCTCATTCTTTTCCATAGCTTTCTGCGCTGGTGCTTCTTCATTTTCTTTCGACGAATAACGATAAGTCTGACGGCTTGTTTCTCTTCTTGTCTGATTGCTGGTAAGCCAATCTCATCTTTTCTCCAATTTGTATCAATAACAGGTAAAATAGATCGAGGGTTAACTATAGGAATATACGATAGTGGATCCTGCCTGATACGTCCATCAGTTGGATTGTCTCTGATTTCGAGACCGATACTTCTGGGGCAGAATGTAATAGCTTTACATTTTGAAATGTCTAGCTTTTGTTGCTTAGACACTTTGAATGGAACTGTCTTACATTCCTTCAAAGTATTGAGAGCAGTTTTAACGTTGATGAGCCGCAAATCTGGAGAAATATAATTTAAGGTTATTAATATAATTTCGTATGTTAAAATATAACCTTTAATATAATAATAAACTTACACTTTACGGTATTTTGTAAAGAGTTCATCATGATTATTTAATTTATACTGAATTGTACATGCTTACTTCTAAAATTAATTTCAACCTATTATTAAAGAAATTTCCAATTATATTTCCAAGGAATAAAAAATAGAAAACGGAAAATGACAGTGACATAAACATTGTTGTTGTTTTTATTATTCGCTCGAGAGAGCAGGCAAAGGAACTAAGCCATACAGCCTTATCTTTTTTATTTTGAATATTCTTTTATAATTCACTGCTTCGCAATATGTTGATGCGTCACATTGAGCAGCCCTTGGGAGATTTTGACGGCAAGTTGAGCCAACATACAACTGACAGTTGGCGATGGTATCTAAAGGTGCCCATGCAAACAAACAGCTTATCTTGAGAATCCATCACCATCAGAGCACCCATTTCACCGTTTCCACTAATAGTTCACATGCGTAGACAGTTAATACATAAAATCTCACCACTTTTACATATCAAATTCCACTTCAAATAATTATTTAAACTATAATACAGGAGCAGCAAACCGCCTCCGGTCCAGTTCCCGCCAAAACTCCGTGACATAAACAATAATGACAAGTTGTTGTTGTTGTTTTTATTATTCGCTCGAGAGAGTAGGCAAAGGAACTAAGCCATACAGCCTTAATGACAAGTTACAGCTCATTTTATTACAATTCACCATGGAGGGCAAAAATCTTATCATCATACAACCTAACCTGGTTTGTATTTTTTTTTCACAATATTCTTCACATTATACTGATACGTTTCATTGACAAATTCTTGGGAGATTTTGACAACAGCTCTAATCTATCAGATAGTTGATAACATAGACTTAGGATATACTGGCGTATAGACGACCTGTCAGCCCGAAAACGCGTGACCAATTTTGATTTGTTATTGTGTGAGTTGGCTAATGATGTACATTTTACTTAAAAGGGCTATCGAAAAATTTTTGTTCAGAAACCGATATAAAGACTAAAAAACTAGTTTAGTGCACAGAACTACATAACTAATGAGCACTAAACTATTTTATTAAAAATTAACTAAATTTTTACCATGATGGTTTTAAAATAACTAAAAATATTTAGGAATTAGCTGCACCCACCTGCCTTTTCCATCATCCATAATCCATTACAGCCTATAAAAATCCACTGCTCAACATGGGCCTCCCTATAGATTGCCTCATAGGGGGGATATTTGCCATCGCTTGGCCAGCGGGTTGTCAACCACAGTTTTTTATTATTTCGAGTTGTTATCAGGAAGATGCTACTGCCCATCGCCTCTTTCAGTTTCCCTTTGTCGCCTTTTATGACACACATGGGACGATATTGGGTAGTGGAAATTCTTTCACCGACACCACTTGCCTTTTGTTGGACTTTAGATTAGTTCTAGACTTTAGATTAATTCAAAATGTACAAAATCGCAATAATATCTGAAGAGGCGGGGTAAGTATACCAATGAAATGAAACAATTTTCTCCCACAATCAGATCGGAAAGTTATATTTTTGACCTTTGGAGAAAAATATTTAATGCCATATACAATTTCCTCGGAATTTATTTCTTTTTCAACATAATGTTAATCAAATATAAACTTAATTAAGTATCTACCTATTTATATTTTATAAAATGTTTTGCTGGTAAAATAAAAAAAGAGGACATGGAGTATATTATGGCTGCTTTATTTTTTATATAATTATTACCTTTAATATCTATAAAACAGAATCGGAAACAGAAACAAAAAAACAAAATCATTTAATTTATACTAATATAATAAAGTGGAAGAGTTATTTTGTTTTTTTTTTTGTTTGTTTAAACACGCTAATCTCTGGAACTACCAGTTCAAATTTAAAATTTTTGTATATAATAGCCAGATTCATGAGGAATAGTATATAGGCTATCTAGCATATAACTATCAGCTAACCTTATATATTGATTTTTGTTAAGCAAGTCGGAAGAAAAGGCGCTCTCTAACTGCTTTATCCACGTGCGCTAGCGTAACATTTAGTATTACATAAATACGATGTTCTACAAAAATATTGGTCTTTGCTCCATCTAAAAAAAAGTCTGCGATACCATATGCCTGTGGCGGCGCTGTCGTCGCGCCACAAGCGAAACATATCGAAGACTAAATCGCACTAACAAAGTTCCAAAGTTAAAGCAGCCTATATATAATAGCTCTGAACTACCAATCAGAGCGTTGGCCGCTCCCCGGGCAGAACACCTTGCCCGGCGGGAGATCTCTCCTTTTCCTTCCAACCGCCACATGCTTATATAAGCCACAATAAGTTTTTTGAGAAAAAAAATATTGAAAATGAAAAAGTGATTTATAAGCGTTATTATTAGGCATGGCATATAAACCATTACGAACGAAATTTACTTCATCATCAAGAAAATTTTAAGAAGATAAACTTTGCTCTTTATAGCATGTTATTTGGACGCATAGGTTAAGAGATAATGAAAAATTAAAATAATGAACACTCTGCTCGGAGTGCGAACGACCGCATAAACCCTAGCCGCCCGATGAGATTCGAGAGAAACCAGCAGTGAACGCCTATATTGGTCCGAGAGCTCATGACGCATTTTTAAGAAGTGTTTGATGCATCATGAAACTTTGTCCATAATGCGTCTGGCCTACCCATTCAGTGTATTCACGTATACTCATTTAATCAAAAGTGAGATATAGTTTTAGATCAGGCTTCTTTTTTCTTATTTCTCTAATGGTGTTTAAAGATTCTTGAGTGAAACCAGGTTCACAGTCTAGTCTGGCATACCAGGTACGCTATGTGTTAACGTGTGGAAGACACAAATCAAATTTTTCACGTAAATAATTATATGCTCTTGGACTATAGAAATGTATTGTGACAGCAAATTTTCATAATTCTTCGTTATATTTGGATGCAGATACTATTTTACCACATTTTTTTTAATATTAACCCTGTTAATTAAATTCTGTATCAATTCATTGCTACATGCCATGGTGATATCGCTATAGTGATCTTTCAATCCTGGTCTTGAATGAATTTCTTCAAGCATGTTTTGCAATGTAACAACTATTTTAGCCTGTCTTTTAGTTTTTGCTGCTAAGCTACGTATTTTCTTTTGTTTTTCTTTCAGCTTTTGTATTAATTTCTCGATTTTTGATAAAAGTTTTTATTCTTGGTGTAAATTGATCATTTCTTTCTTGTGATTTCTAAGGTGGAGGGGTTATGTCACGAGTTATATATGATAAGGCTACTCTTTTTTTCATCTGTCCCTGAAAAATATAAAGTAATAATAAATTTATTATCATTTTAGCTGCATGAATTTAAAAAATATAATGATCTTAACATAGACAAGTCAAATACGCTGGAGACATTAAAGTGCACCAAGTGTCCGAGGATACAGATGCACTCTTCTTTTCTCTCAATCGCAGTATGTTAAGAAAACGGTCACCCACACATGGACCGACCGCAGCAAGTGCATCTTTATCTTGCAGATCTATTGATCTACGCAACTGTTACTTAACTACGAGTTCCTCTTCTCTACGAGTAACGCAGTAGGTAATGAACCACACTATCAAGCCCTCGGCATACTGTCATCGAGCTTCAAGCATGAATCGAACATCAAGCGTTGCGCGTATCAAATACTATGGAATTTATACTATCCTGGTACACTAAATCCCGCGCCTCATGGCATCTAGTGGCGCTTCAGGAGCATTACTCAATAACCATACCTAACTACGCTAAAAGTTTTATCATTGTGACTTAGAAATATATTCCAAAGCTCCGCACAACCCCTTGGGGAAAATATATAATAATAGAGATAGAGTTTTATAATGTATAAAAATCTATCTCTATTTTTACCTTAAGTTTTTGAAGTTAAATTTTTATACCAGCGTAAAATAGCAGTTTAACACTGCTGTGTTTTGTATGGTAAGTGTAGAGAACCGGAGACCCATTTTACGGGAAAAAAGGCATTTCATCTTATTCCTCACGGGTGATAACGCATCTGGATTATGATTCGCAAACGAGGATAGATGTAGATGTCTATGGGCCACAGCAACCACTTATCATCAGGAGGACTGTATGCTCGCTTGTCACCCCATCCTATAAAAATTAAAAAAAGATGTCTTATTATAACAATAATATACTTACTGGTACAAATAATGTAGGAATGGCTCCTTTTAATAAAGTTACTGTGCTTTTTCTTATATATTTCTCAATAAAATGTTTACTACAAAATTGTAGAGTTCTTCTTAGGATTCAAACCAACCCGCCCAATTAATGCCAACCATTTTTTTCTAACTAAAGGATCCAGAGGGAATCTGTTTGACAAACGGCAAAATAAAATTTTGTTTTTAGAACGCAAATCGAACATTTAATTTTATTCTTCTTTTTGTTGTGTATAAAATTCTATCTATTCTTTATACACATTAAAGATAAATATCGATATTTTGATATAGTTGAGTCAATCCCTAGCATAAAAGTAAAATATTTTGTTTAAAAATTAATTCACCAAAATCATACAAATAATCAACAATGTGACTTTTTTCTTTGCAAAATATCAAAATTAATAAAATAATTGAAAATATTACATATTTTAAACAGTATATAACATAAATTTTAAGCAATAATAGACGTGTCTTATTATTGACGACGTCTTGCGAATTTACCTGTGAAATGTGCAACCATCAGCATTACTTCTATTGTTGATACCCACAGAAATCGTAATAATAAGACACTAAAAGTCGCATCGACGCGTGACCTTGTCGCCGCTATGATGTGTTGACGGACATCATTTACACATTTTGTGATTTAGTTGCGCGGAACGTCGGACGTGAATTTATGTTATTATAATGGTGAACTGCAGCATAAATGGTTGTAAAAACTCATCAAGGACGTGTAATTCAACTAATAAAGGCATAACCTTTCATCGGTAAGTTGATTATTTACTAATTATCATTGTTATAATTAATTTACATCTAGATGAATACTTTACTGTGATATTTACATTTGTAAACTTTCGTTTATTACTTTTCGTATTGTACATTACCATTGCTGCTTTTCTTCTATCGTAATACGCAACGTACGCGACGTTGACAAAATCGCCAAGCAATGTAATGTGAACATTAGATATCATTGTGAATTGCGTATGCTTATAATACGGCTGCAGGCATCGGTCGCACGTTAGTGGTGTAACCGTGTCATTCATTTGAATGAAAGCACGGGTTTTATCGATGTTTGTATAAAGGGATATTTTTAGATTCTCGAACGTAAAAACTAAACATTTGAACGTAAAATATTCTTCATAATAATAATTATACAGTAATTTAATTAATTTAATTATTTGTTAAAATTTAATTATTTGTTTAAGTTTGCGTCTATAAATGTTTAGAATGCTGATAAATGTACAGAAAATGTTGTTTTTTAGGAAGTATAAATAATTATATTTACTAGAACATAATTATCAATTATTTCTAGATTCCCGAAAGATCCTGATATTAAAGAAAAATGGATAAATCTTACTGGTAGACAGGACTGGTTCCCTACAGAAAATAGTCGAATTTGTTCAATCCATTTTCATGAAAATGATTTTAATGTCACTGCTAAAAGATGCAATTTAATGAAATCAAGCATACCCACATTGAATATATGGAAGTTATGCTCTGAAAATGTAAGTTTCAATACAATCTTTAGTCAAAACATAAAAACAATGTAATAATGTTTCAAAGCGACAGCGGCACAACGTAACAGATGTAATTTTTAAAATATAGCATATACATTTTATTGAGTGTCCGGGGTGTGACTCTACTATGTTTTGTATAATGATATCAAATTTTGCAGTCCACAGCAAACATTCCGTCAACATCCGCTCTGCCGGTAACGTCTACGCTACCATCTACTCCTTCACGCAAACGTGTTTTCCCATTACCATCCTCAAATGTAAGCCTTGATTTATTTGATTGTCCTTATTTCGCTTCATAGCATCAATTTATTTATTTTAAATCTATCGTTCTAGCACACGGAAAATCAGCCATCGATTAATCTTGATACACCCAGAAAACAAAAGTTACGTCGAATAATCGAGACAAATAAGGGTGTAATTACAAGCCAGCGTTTGATGATTAAGAGATTGCAATCTAAAACACGGCGATATAAGAAAATAAATCTAGAACTAAAACACATGCTAAAGAATTTAGAGAACAAGCGCCTAATAACTGGAGATCAGGCTATGTCTTTAGAAAACATGAATTTGACCACACAAGATTTGATTGGCAGATATAACCTAACATTATAATCAGGAAAAAAAACGCGTGCTAAATTTTCAGAGAATCTAAGAAGTTTTGCGATGACCTTGCATTTTTACTCTCCGAAAGCTTACGAATTCGTAAGAACAAAATTCAACACATGCTTACCTCACGTAAGAACATTAAAAAAATGGTACCAATCCATTAATGCCGAACCAGGATTCACAACAGATGCATTAAATGCGATTAGAGCCAAAGTTAAAATCAGTAAACATTCCATTCTTTGCAATTTAGTAATAGACGAAATGGCTATTCGTCAACGCTTAGAGTGGGATGGCAAACGGATGCATGGCTATGTAAACATAGGCATTGGTAGTGACGTTGGTGCTGGAGATAGCTCTAAAATAGCTAAAGAAGCGTTCGTATTTTTAATAACAGCCATTAATGCATCATGGAAAATTCCAGTTGGTTATTTCCTTGTAGATGGACTATCGGGAGAACAAAAGTCAGCTTTAGTACTGCAGTGCTTGGGGCTGCTTCACTCAACAGGAATCGAAGTTATCTCCATGACTTTTGACGGTTGTCCGGCTAATATAGCTATGGCAAAAAAACTCGGTTGTTCCTTAGAGGTTCATAATATGGTGACAAATTTTAAACATCCCGTTACAGGGAAACCTGTCAGTATTTTCCTCGACGCCTGCCATATGATTAAACTTGTTCGGAATTCGTTTGAATCTAGTGGTAGTTTTAAAGATTGTAATGGGAACCAAGTGAAATGGTCACATTTAGTTAAACTAAATAATTTGCAGGAAAAAGAACATCTTCATTTAGCGAATAAACTTAAACGAGGTCACCTATTTTTTAAAAATCAAAAAATGAAGGTAAGATTAGCAACCCAGCTGATGAGCAACAGTGTTGCAGATGCGTTGAAATTCTGCTGCCAGTTAAACCACATAGAATTTTCAGATGTTGATGGCACAGTAACTTTTTTGAAAAGCTTGAACAATTTATTCGATGTTCTCAATTCACGGAATATGAACCAAAATTATTTTAAAAAACCTTTGTATTTTAGAAATAAAGAAAACATTTTTAATTTTTTAGGTGAAGTTGAAGATTATTTAAAAACTCTTAAACTTGATGACGGGCAATATGTAATAAAAACAAATAAAAAAACGGGCTTTATAGGACTATTAACTTGTATACACAGCTTAAAAGAAATATATATTAGAGTAATAGAAGATGAAAAGAAACTTCAGTATTTACCAGGCTATAAGTTTTTACAAGATCACCTTGAACTGACTTTTGGTCATATAAGAGCACATGGAGGTTGTAATAACAATCCCACGGCGCGGCAATCTATGTCGATTTATAAAAAACTTATAGCACATATTGAATTAAAAGATTTTGATAGTGGCAATTGCGTTGCTCTAGAAAATCTATCAATTTTAAGTTGTTCATCAGCCATTCAAAAAATTAATATTACTTACACTATGACGCCACTTTGCAATTACGAACCAGAGGAAGATATGAACAATCAAAGCTATTTTGATGAAATGTTGTCAAATTATGATATTGATATATCGGAATTTCGACAACAAGTCGTGACGTACATAGCTGGGTCCGTTGCACATTATTTATTAAAAAAAATAAAATGTACATGTGTCTCTGCTTTATTGGGATCTGATAAAAATGATGACCATGTCGATTTTATTAAATTAAAAGACAATGGTGGACTAATAATTCCAAGTGCAGATGTTATAACTATATGTTTGAAAGCAGAAACTATTTTAAAAAAACTATTTTTGGACTGCAAGATGGTAAAAATGCAAACATTAAAGGATCACTTTCTTGCGAGAGCTATGAGTCACTTTGTTGCCAAAAATATATTTGCGAATATTCAATATCATCAGTATGATCAATCTCCTCTTGATAATCACATAGTTCAGTTGATTAAATGCGTTTTGGAGAAGTATATGGACATCCGTTTAAATTATTTTGCTAAAAATGCGATACAAAAAGTTAAAAAAAGGCAGTTTTTAAATAAATTTCTTCATTTTACGGGTCAATAAAATCGTTTCGTAGAGTTGATGACAATATTAATTGCAAAGTACTGCTACAGATACTTGTTTAGTACCCAATATAATTAATTATATTTTCAAACATAGTGTAAAGAATAAGGGTATTACACAGTTGACGACTATGTAAATATCATAAAGAAAAAATAAGACTCACAACTCTGTTTATTAAACTTATTTCTATATTAATATCACTCTAACTTAATTATTTCATAAGTGTACCTACGCTATAACCTCGATTAATTAAGTATTCTGACTGTTAATAGATAGCTCGATTTTAAATAGTAAGTATCATTACTGTTAAATATTAAAAAATTTGTATATATCTATGATTTTCTTTGCTACTTGTAATCCATTTTAATATAAAAACAATATCGACACCTTAAAAATTTTTGTCAATCCCTAGCATTGTTTACAGGGACCCTCACACATCAAAAGTGCTTGCAGTGGTGTAACATTATATATTGGAGTAAAATGCAGTGTAATCACTAAAAAATAAGGTTCATAATAGATAGTGCCCTATACACTTCATCGGTGTATTGCAAGTGTGTGCGAGTGTTATATCTATTTGTTTGCTTAATGCGTATGTGTTAAGATGTGGCGACATCGGTTTTGGAAGTAATCGGGCGCTAATTCATTTCTAGTGTCTTATTATTACGATTTCTGTGTTGATACCACAGTCACTAACGGAACATGAAACCATTTTGGAAAACTATAAATTATACAAATTAACACTATTATAATCTAAAAACACACAAAATATCTACAAGCTTATTTCTTGCGCGCCGACTTGCGCCGACCTGTCATTCAAAATCGTCATCGTACAGAGTCATGAGATTTGGTATCCTTTTCTATCTTGCATTTTTGCCATAAGGAATTTTCTTTTCCTTTATTTTATTTTATTTTATTTTTATTTGCTTGGAAAACTTACAGCTAATTTACAAAAATAATATAATTATAACAAAAATGAAGGCCATTTACAAGTTTTCACTTATATAATACTTTATATGACAAGAGTGTGTCAGAAGAGATATAGTAACAGTATACTTAAATATAAATTACATTATCAAAAAGAAAAGAAGTTGTTAGAAAGTAAACGCCTAAGTTGGATAACGCTGGAATGAAATAAATCAATATCCACATTGTGAGTATGTGCTATAGCATTAAAAGATCTGCATGATCGAATAATAAAAGAGTTTTTCCTGTAATTACTTTTCACGCATGGTACATATAAAAGTGTAGGTTTCCGCAAACCAGATGATGAGGTGTGTAAACCTATTTTACTTAATAGTTCAGGACAATCAATATTACCATTCATAATTTTAAAGAGGAAGGAGAGATCTGCAATATTTCTACGCTCATATAAAGGTAATATGTGATTTTTTTTACATCGAAGAGTATAGCTGGGTATAAACTTTTTTGATTTAAATTGAAGAAAACGCAAAAATCTTTTTTGTATGCGCTCTATCCTATCCACATATTCATTATATTTTGGATTCCAAATTTCAGAACCATATTCCAAATGGCTGCGTACAAAAGCGCAATATAGAATTTTGAAGGTTTTTATGCTTTTAAAATCTGCCGATAACCTTAATATGAAACCCAGCGCTTTGTTAGCCTTTGTAACGATGTTATCAACGTGATTGTCAAACAGCAATTTAGAGTCAAAAGTAACACCGAGATCTTTGATAGTGCTGGTTCTATTTATAGAAATATGGTTTAATTTATAATTATAAATTATAGGATTAGGTTTACGAGTAAATGAGCAGATAAAACATTTGGAAACATTCAGATCGAGTTTATTGTTAGAACAGTATGCTTCTAAATTGAAGAGATCCTTTTGAAGGCTAGAACAACTTTCCAAACTTGTAATAGGACATAAGATTTTCATATCGTCAGCGTAAAGAATAATCTTGGAATTTTTAAAACACGTGTCGATATCATTGATAAAAATTAAGAAGAGCAAGGGCCCCAATAGGGATCCTTGTGGTACGCCAGACGATATATGGATTGCAGACGAACGATATCCACCAAGGACGACAGATTGACTTCGATTTCTGATGTATGACGTAAACCATCGGAATAAGTCCCCCCTGATACCCATTGCAAGGAGTTTACGTAAAAGAATTAAATGATCGATTCTGTCGAATGCTTTGCAGTAGTCTGTATAGACTACATCTACTTGTGCTGGTTTAGACATAAAGCTAGTTAGATAGTCGGAACAAATAACAAGGTTTGACACGGTAGATCTGTTTTTTAAGAAACCATGTTGATTTTCACTAAATGAGTGGCGAAGGGAAGAGTACACCTGGTTGTAAATTATTTTTTCAAATACTTTAGCGAATAAACAGAGCTTGGAAATGGGACGATAGTTTTGTACCTCATCCTTAGGTCCTTTTTTGTAAATTGGAGTAATAAACGCACTTTTCCAAATATTTGGAAAAATGCCTTCCTTTAAGGAACGGCGGTACAGAATACTCAGAGGCAAAGTAAGAGAGTCCGCACACCGTATGATTAAGATAGCCGGGATACCATCTGGTCCAGCAGACTTGTACAGGTCTATAGCCTTTAAAAGTCTGGATACCTCTGCTTCTTGCACCTCGATGGAACTGATATCAATAGAAGATTGATCAATTTGCGAGTCAATAATATTAAAATTAATTGTGTCGGAATCGTTAAGAAAATTAGATTTAAAAAACTGATTGAAAAAATCACAAATTACTTCACCTTTGCCTGACGAATACTGTCTGAATTTCATAATAGAAGGATATGAACTTGGAGATTTTTTACTCTTAACAAAGTTCCAGAAGGCTTTCGGTGATTTGCTTATATTATTTTCTATATCACGAATGTAAGCTTCGTACATACTTTTTTCGAGAACCTTCCCACGTTCTCGTAATAAAACAAAAGAATCAAGGTCGGAAGTATTTCCATATTTTTTATACTTTGAGTGATACTTAAATTTTTCTTTTAAGATTTTAATCAAGGGTGTTTTATACCAGGGAGGAAATCTGGAAGATGATTTTACAGTTTTGCAAGGGACATGTTTGTTAATTAGCATTTGTAACTTATCATACAGTAAGGATACAGCCTCCTCTAAAGAACCCATTCTGAGGCAACTGGACCAGTCCGTATTATCAAGTTGTTGACATATTTTAGTGTAATCTGCAAAATTATACAGGAATTTTGTTCTGGTTTGCGGTGAAAGCGTATTTTGGTGGATGAAGTCAACAGATATACATAGTGCTATGTGATGAGGATCTTCCGAAACTAAAGGGTCTATACATTTATGAACATTTATAAAATTGTTGCAGAAAATTAGATCCAGAATTCTGTTGTTACAGTTTAGTTGACTGTTATATTGAGATAAGGAACATAAATTAAGAGTATCAAAAAAATCCGATTGAATGGGACCTTGAATATTAAAAGGGCATTGAGATTGCCCATCGTCAGCTGGCTGCCATATTATATTCGGCAAATTAAAATCGCCTAAAAGTAAAAAACCATCTGCCAAGTTATTTAACACAATATCATTTAATTTAGTGGAAAAACATTGTAATTGCTGTATTAAGGAATTACCTAAGTTTTGACAGCATATATAAACAAGACAAATATTTAATTTGTAACACAAATTAGGCGATGTACGTTTTAGGGTCAGAGTAATCCATATGTCCTCAGCTGATGAACGCCATTCACTGCGTTCAAAAACTATAAGCTCTCGTCGAACAGCTATGAGGACACCACCCCCCATGCTTTGACCTGTATCAGAATAATTCCTATCACGCCTCCAAACTAGATATCGGTCGTCAAATAATTCTGTGTCATTGAAGTCCTCATTAAGCCAAGTTTCCGTTAAGCATATTAAGTCGTAATTATTCATTACGATATTCCTATATATAGTTGCTACTTTAGTCCGTAAGCCCCGGACGTTTTGGTAGTATATATTATATTTTTTTATGTGAGTGTTTTCTTAACAGGATAAGCACTAAAATAACGCGGTAGGTAATAGTAGCAACTACAAATAACTTACGTTGAGGTATATTAGAAAATAATCTACTATTCATTAGGAGAATGCATAAATATTTCGCGATATGAGCATACAAATAATACACATAAGTATAAGCAACGACCCGCGAGCAATGAAGTAAAAGTTTTAGTGGAGTAATAATAGTTAATCTCTTACACTCTGAAACTGATGCTAAGATATGACATATATGAAATTTATAGTAAATGTATATTGTGTACCCTAAACGGCAGAGCAAATGATTACCTGTTACAGTTACCACGGTGCAAGAGTTACTGCAGGTTAATATAAGTATTATTAACTTAGTGAATAATATACAAAGCACACAAAAATAATTCATATATGCGTATACATAATAATAAACAATTATTCGTAATCTATAAAACAAATAACATAGCACAAATATAACATGCGAAATGAAATAAAATGCGGAATGCAAAAATCTAGGATATGCGAAAGAAAAATTAAAAAAGGGTATTATGGAAACTAAGCAAGTGAGATACAATATGCAAAACGTTACGTTAAGTACAACAGCATAATGAGCATAATAGAAATAAAAATAACAAACACAGGTAGCAAGAACATGTCCTTTCGTTACGCCAATAATAGCGAGGTGCGAGTACATCATTAATGAATAGACGATACCAACGCTTCTCAAACTTTGCGTTTGCACAGCAAGTAAACTTAACAGTAACTTGTGAATCCTTAAACTATTTTTCTTAAATCCGACTCCGTTTTTATTATAAGAACAGGTGATGTTGTGCTTTTCCGTACTAGGATTTTGCAGTTCTTTACCCAAACGTACGAAAAATCCCGCTCCTTGGCCAAAGACTTTGTTTTGTTTAATAACATTTTGTTTTCAAGCGTTAAATGGTCGTTGATAAAGATTCTGTTACTACCATTAAGACCTATATCCAACGGCGTTAGGGATTTACATTTTCTCGCTGCTGCAACAAAGTTGTCTCTGAGATATCGATTGTGCATAGACACAATTATGTTTTTGTTATTTTTATTATTACGAGAAGGAACCCTAGCAATGTAATTAATGTTGTTATCACTAATATTGATATCGATTTTGGTTGCTATTTTTGATATAATAGTAAAGAGATTTTCCGTGTTAGTTATAGGAACTCCTTTGATTTCAATGTTGTTCAACCGTGATCGCTGCTCCCCATCATTAAAAACAGCTTCCAATTTTTGCAAACGCTGTTCTAGACGGGACACATCTTCCTTGGTCTTCTGAAGGGTTTGAATTTCACGATCCACCTCGGCTATCCTAGCTATAAGTTTGTCAACTGAAGCGTGAACGTAGTCTAGCGAATCTTTCACAACCGACAACTCACATTTAATCGTTTTAAGATCAGCCAAATCAGCTTGAATATTTTTTACCGAATCCAGTAACTTAGGCATTGATGACATTTGTTCAGACAGTCCACGTAATTCACCACGAATACCATCGAGATCACTAGAAGCGCAGGAAGTGGAACGGCCAGGAGCTGGACTACCGGAGCTAGCATTCTTACAAGCGTTACATTTCCACGTTGCTTTCCTATCACCAAGTTTTCGAAAACCAATCTCGGTTATTCCAGCACACGGAAAGTCGTATTGTTTCAAACACAGGGAACACTGAACACCATCTCTAGCTTCAATCTTACAACGGTGGCAAGTGAACATTTTATTAAAAGGAAAGGTTTGAGAACTGTAGACAATTGCAGCTTGCAACAGCGCGAGACAATATTGAACGTAACGTGCGTACTGTTTACGATCTGACAACGTACTTTGCACACTATGTTGATCTATAATACGTATATCCTCAGTCTATGGTTGATAACATAGACATAGAATATACTGGCATATAGACGACCTGACAGCTTGAAAATGTGTAACGAATTTTGATTTGTCATTGTGTGCGTTAGCTTTCCGTATATACGGAAAGTCAATACTTGGTCAGTTGGTCAGTCGTTGGCGTTGCCGTCGGTGACGTCGCGTCAACAACAAAGCAGAACCTCCAGTTTCTTTTCTGTCGTCTATCCATTTTATTATCCAATGTCGTTTTTTTTTTAAATATCTCTTCTTCTTACATTTCCGTCAACTCTTTCAACAGCAGATAGGAAAATTTTCTCAACAAATATTTCAATCGTTGTAAATTCTGCCGTTTCCGTGCTGTTCCAACTACTGACTGCATGTAAACAGTTCGAGTCGGTCTTCGGCGCCAGCACTGACGCCTGTTACTGTGTAAATCAGCCTTAATATGTTATTGTCAGAGCGTTATACTTCACAGAACGTTAACGTTACAATATTCTTATGGTGAAAACTTAACTCAGCGCAAATATGTACGTGATCTGAAAAAGATAAAATTCAATATAGTAATAATCCCTACAAATAACAGTCAAGAAATTCAAAACGTTTATAGCCTTACCACAATACTGTCGTAAGTTTTTCTTTTCCTATTTTAGGAAACCCGTGGAAAGAGATAAGATGATTTTGTGTTCTTTGTTTGTATTACACTTAACTTACTTTCGATTATCATATACAGACTTACAGACAGTAGCGAGAATATATCTAAAAACGAAAATGAGTTCTGAACCGACAATAACTGCAATTAGGCAAAAATCAATAATAAATATTAAAATCTAAAGATATGAAATAAATTTTAATTAATTTGAGAAAAATATTTTTTACATGAAAAAATTGACAAACAAATGTCAATTTTTTCTTTTAATTCATGGCTTCTCTTGATAGTTGTACCTCGGTTAGAAGAGATACGAAGTATCAGCTGGAGAGGACACCTGCGTCTCGGTCAGAAATAGCAAGACCGTCTCAGATGGTAATGGACGGCGTTTAAGTTCGAAAGAAGTTGCAGAAATTCATGGATAACGTGAGAGGAGTGGCCTCGATCTTGCTACCATGTTGATAGGGTGGGGGGGGGGATTGATAGGGTGGGGGGGATTGATAGGGTGGCGGGGGGATTACACTAACCAGACGAAATGCAGCAGCAAAGCTTCTACTTCACGCTAGCATTTTGTGAGGTCGTGTTACCTCCCCGGTTCGAGCCGGCCCATACGTGAAACAGCAAAAGCTGCCGCGTGGCTCTACTACTGTTTATACGTGTGCAAACATAATTTCATATTCTAGATAAATTCATTACTTTTAATGTATATTTGTAATCGTTTTCTAAATTTCTTAGCTACAAAAGATGTGTTAGCCAAGAACTGAGCGTGTTTTTGAAAGCATTATAAAAACGTTACTATTGGATGTTTATCTTTAACTTAATATTAAATTATTTTATGCCAAGATTCCAACAAATCTGTAATCCTTTCAAACAAGAAATACCTATGTATATATTTTTATAAGTAATGACTACTAAGTATCTTGGACCAGTTTTATCATGACTCTATAAATAACTATACACAGCCGAGGGAGAAAATCGGAAGAAAATAATATATACGAATTGCGATTATCCACATCGTCTGGAGTGGATAAATGAATACGTGTTTCCGAGTATCCATCCTAGGGTGGATATTTTGCGATGGATAAACGGAAAAACCCAACATTTTAACCAATGCTCATATTATCTGCTTTCACTACATCTTTTTCTCTCACATTATAATTGAGTACTATATATATATATTAATTTTTAACTACTGCTACCTGCCGTGCAATATTGCATTCTTTGGATGGAGTCCACAAGCATTGTCGTGGTGAAAGAGGACCCTGCTTTAAAGGCGCCTTCTAGCAGTTTCTAAGATAACTGTACTATTTTTTAGCATAACTATTTCGTAATGCATTCTGCGTAATACAAACATCTTTTTTCCTTGATTCTTTCCTACTAAACAATGTTATTATGGTGAAATATCTATGTAGGATGAATCTATTCTGGAGTAAAATCAAAAGAAAAAATACTAGCAAATCAATATCAAAATCATGTTTTTTATTTCTACAAATATTTATATATCTTCTAATAATTCTCTGTCGTGAGGAACTGCTGCAATGTCCCCAACAACAGCAATGGCCATGCCCTTTTCTGCAATGAAAATTAAGAAAATGTATTAAGAATAGGTACGTGGTAGAGCCACACTGCAGCTATATTGTGGTTGTAGAACGAATGGGTCGACTCGACCGGGTAGGAACACGTTCTCACAGAATTATCATCATTATCATCATTACAGCCTTTTACAAGTCCACTGCTGAACAAAGGCCTCCCTCAAGGAACACCACAAAGCACGGTCCCGAGCCACCTGCATCCATTAACTTCCTGCATGTCTTACCAGGTCGTCACTCCATCTAGTGGGGTACGTCCTACACTTCACCTGCCGGTACGAGGCTGCCACTCGAGAACCTTTCTTTCCCATCGATTACCGGTTCTTCGAGCTATATGGCCGGCCCAATGCCACTTCAACTTACTAATCCGTTGGTCGTTCACTCTGGTTCTGTTCTGGATATCCCCATTTCTAAGTTTATAACGCAGAGAAACCCCGAACATAGCCCTTTCCATAGCTCGCTGAGCAACTTTGAGCTTCCTCATACGTCCAGCAGTGAAGGACCACGTCTCAGATCCATAGATCATCACAGGCAACACGCACTGGTTGTATAATATAGTTTTGAGGTATACATGACGAGAAGATGTGTCGTAATCTCCCGAACACTGCCCAGTCGAGTTGAATCCGTCGAAATACCTCTCGGTCCAGCCCAGTCGGATTATTTGTCCCAGATAAACATGCTCCTCAACAACTTCAAGCTTTGTGCTCCCAACAACTACCGGTATAGGTGTGACATGGACGTTACACATGACTTTTGTTTAGTCCATGTTCATCTTAAGACCTATTCATTGGGAGACACTATTGAGGTCTTCTTAGGAGTGCTTAGGTCCTCCAGCGATACTGCCATAAGGACTATAATATCGTCGGCAAATCGAAGGTGTGTACTTGTCATTGACGATAATACCGCGAACACTGTGAGGGTGACAAACGACCATATTGCGAGGCTCTCTATTATTAGAGAGCAGGCTTAAAGATATTTAAGAGAGGTGAGTTAGTAACATTTGTTTGTTCATTCAGCAATGCAACGGTACTATTGTTACTTTTTAATATCTCTAACTGTTCCAGCACACACAGCCGCAGCCGCTCACTTAGCGGTTAGCCACCGTAGAGTCTATATCACCTGAGGATGCCTCGTGTAGAGGCGAAACACGTGTCGTATTATCATCAGTGGTGTGTCTTGCCTAGTGTAGTGGTGTTGGGAGTAGCGATGCTGGGATTAGTGGTGACGGGGATAGTGCACGCAATTGAGGGAGGGCGGGAGGTGCTCTTCATATTAGGTAAGACACATCATTTTATTTTATAACGCGGATATTTGCGAAGTAAATTTTTCTAAAAGCTTTTAGATAATACCGCATCCTTTCCTTAGCTTTAAAAACGTCTTCCAATGTAGCAGTGAAGAGTTTCGGGGATATAACGTCACCCTGTCTTACACCTCTGAAGTTGGAGAGGTTTCGTACTCTGGTTCTGTACTCCAATAGTCATCGTAGCCCTACTTTATAAACACATCAGCACTTCGATATACCGATAGTCAATTTGGCACCGACGAAAGGACTGTGGCACCACCCAAAGTGCGACGGAATCAAAGGCTTTCCATAGTCCATAAACGCAAGACAAAGTAGCAGATTATACTCTTCGGTACAATTTATCGAAGGGTATGTATGTAGTCTATGGTTTTAAAGCCCTATCGAAAACCAGCCTGTTCGGAAGGCTGGAAGTCGTTGAATCTGCGTGCGAGACGAATTATAATGACTCTCGAGAACAGTATGTAAACGGGCTCAGAAGAGAAATCGGTCTGTAGTTCAGAGAGCATTGTCACCTTTCTTGAAGAACAAGTCTATCGCACTTTTACTCCACGCCTCCGGAGTACCAATGTAAAATAGCAGCGTAATGCTGTTGTGTTTCGTATGGTGAGTGAAGAGAACCAGATACCCTTTTTACTGGATAACAGGCATTTCATCATAGTCCTCAAGGGTGACAACGCATCTGAAATTTGAATCTTAATCGAGTGAAATTTTTATTGGTCACAGTATCCACTTACTATCCGGTGGAATATGCGCTCATTTGCACCCTTATTCTATAAAAAAAGTTACATAGAGATATTTAAGAAAAACCAGTTCCATTTTGATAGGTCCGAATGATAACGGATCTGTGGACCCGCATCCCTTTCCATCCCCCGCGTTTTATTAATGAATGAACATACTACCACAATTCAGATACCGATCTTTTTTATTCCATATTCATAACCATATTGAGAGTTAATAAAACTTTTAACGTTATACGCGTCATTATAATTCAACGTGTAAGGCTGGCTCTACATTTCATCATCTTGGTGTATCGTATCTACATTGTGTGGCGCTGAAATGTATCATGATTGCTAGTTTGGACGCAAAGTTATTCGCGATCATTGATACGTTGTTGCGATTTTTTCTTTATAGGAGAGGGGATAAACGAGCATACGGCTCACCTGACGGTAAGTGACTACCGCCGCCCATGAATAACTGAAACACCAGGGAAATTGCAGGAGCATTATCGGCCTTTTAGAAAGGAGTAAGCTCTTTTCATGAATGTCCTTAAGTCGTATCGGTCTGGAAAATTGGTCGGTTGTAAACTATTCCACAGCGAGATCGTACGCGGAAGAAAACTCCTAGTGAAACGTACAGTGGTGGACCGCCAAGCATCCAGATGGTGCGGATGGTATCGAGAGTTTTGCCGCGATATGCGTTCGTGAAATTTGGTGCCATTAATCAATTCCGATACTGGCTGAGGCAACAAGGGGAGTGCCTTGAAACTAAGTAGATACGACAAAGTGGCCCTTTTTAGCGATAAACACGCAAACTTGTGTCTTCTGAGGATTAAACTTGACTAGATTTAGTCGCCCCCAATCCAAGACTTTGTTCACCAAAGACTCGACTTCAGACATAAGATTGTTCCTGATGGAGTCCAATACATCAAATACAAATTCGAAATTATAGAATCTTACTTTTGCTTGAAATCGCCCTGGCGGTTTCCAATATTTCATCTGTGCTAATGGAATCTATTATACGAAACGAACTATGTAAGCCATCTATCTGTATGTTGTTTGCTTCTTGTAGTGCCAAGCTTTCAGATGCTTTAACACAATCCTCTTCCTGGATAGCGATATTAAGTTCTGCAATACAAAAAATCATATACATCTATTAGAGTAATTAAACAAAAATTTTAAACCAAACAACAATAGCCAAGATTTAAACTTAAATTCAAATATATAAATAATGATATACCGATATTGCTGTTTTTGAAAATACGATCAAATGACGTTTCTACTTTTGTTTGAAAATATCCCAAATTCAATGTGATTTATGGTCAACAACTACGCGTACGCGCGCTCTTCTGTGTGCGATTCAATTCGCAGCTTTTTGCCGACCGATCGACCCTTACGACTTACGAATGTGTGCGTGCGTAGTAAAATAGTAGGCGTTGGAACAGATATTTATGAATGACAATGAATGAGTTTAAATATTGCATTACTACGCATTTTGTATTTTAAAGATAAAAAGAACAGAATGTTTTTGTGATTCTTTTTTTTTACCATTTGCCTATATTATTTATTCTGAACCTCCTCTGCAAATATGGCCGGTTATTGCAAAATAACTCTGTATAAAAAACTTATTAAATTATATATGTCACATATAAAACTTAGGTAAATACCTATTAATATATTATGTGCAACCATTTTTACACAAGATGACAAACGAGCATATAGACAATCTGATATTAGGATATTAACATATTTATGATGCTGTGGGGTGGCCAATAGACAACTAAGTACATATTCTATTCTAAATAAATTTATGTTGTCACCCCTGACTAAATGTCCGTTACCAGCAAAAGGGTACCCGGTTCTCTACACTCAACATACAAAACATTATTACTCTGCTGTTTCACGCTTGCATTGTGAGATCGTTTTGTGTTGTGGGAGGTCGCACCCCTGGTCCAGCGTAGCGTGGCTCCAAGTAAAAATATTTTTGATTGTGTCCCAAATATTAATATTATAATAATAGTTGTCCTTGTGCAATTTACGTTTGTAAACTGCCCCCACGATACAGAAGAAAATCCTAGTGTGGAGGTTCCGTTTTAAAAAAAAAACAATACAAAGAATTATAATCTTCTTAGATTTAAAACCTTTTTTTATAAAACTTAAGTGACAAATGAAGTTACGGAATGAAAGTTAAATATTGTATTTTAGACACGATATTGACGCTCGGGAATTGATACTTTTTGAAATGGTATACGCTCTGAAAAAAATATGCACATATACATGCAAATACTGAATTAAATTCTCAATCATTTGTATTAAATATAATATAATTATACTCACATATACTTGTACATATAATAAACTTATATTTTGCGATGATATGAAAGGTATGTTATTGAATGAGATCCTTAATCAGCTACATTTTTTATTTAGATCCTTTATTTGTTTACTTTATTTCATAATCTTGTATATTTCACGGCGGACGGAATGTCTGAGGGATTATCTACTAGTTTATCTTAGAGCAGGGCAGAGATAAAAGAGGTAGGCTATATTGCCTGATAATAAGCAAAGACATTACAAATAAGGTGACTTTTCCACTGAATATCGCACGCTTACCTCGTGCAAAATGGACAAAATATGCATGCTACAGAAAAGGGAGCGATAAACACAGCGGAAATCTTCGCCTTAAGTATTATTTATTTATTTATACTTTATTGTACACCTTAATAGAAAGGATTACAAAAGGCGGGCTTAATGGCTTTTGTCATTCTCTCCCTTTTAACCCGGGCCGTGTAAAGATAATGTGAATGGTCCCATATATAAAAAAATAATTATATTAAATCAGGAAAGTATATGTTATAAATAGACGCAACTTACTGAGACGCCTTTTACCGACTTCTATTTGTTGTGGGTTCAGTTCCTTAACATTCGAAAGGAACTTAGCAGCCAAGCGCGCCACCTGTCCAGCCGAACAGGCACGTGTTTTTGCTAATATACCTAGAACATAATGAAAGATTATTTATATTAGTGCCTTGTCTTACTGTTTTCATTATTTTTATTACTTTGCAAGACTGGAACTACCTGTAAGTGAAGTGTGTACCAACTTAGATGTAGGTAAGCAAAATCTGTTAAATACATAAATATAATTTAAAAAATCAAAAACCGACTGCAAAAAAGACAATTTAAAAGTAATGCATTAAAACGACTGAAACAAGATTGAGAATAGAATACATAATTGAAATAAAGTATTAACAAAGCAAACTCTACTTCGGTTTAACAGACTACACTATGAACTGAATGCCTAAGTTAAATACCCAAATTAAGTATAGTAGCAAGCGGAACCCTCTAATTTTCTTTCGGTTTATAATTTGCAATTGGGTAATTAAAAGGCAATTGCAAATAATAATATATATTTGCAATTGCCTTTTAATTTCCTTTATTTTGGTACTCTACTCATAGATTTGGTTTTTTTTAGGCTCAGAAGGGCTAGAACCCAGAGCCGAAAAGCCAGTTTTAAAAAAAGGTTTTTTTTAAATTAACGTATTATAATATAATTATAATGGAGTAAAGTATTCTGTGATTATAATATATAATTATAATATATAATTATACTATTTTGCGCCAAACATCCGCCATTTTGTTTTTTTTTTCCTAAAAGCTATCTAAGAACAGTTGGGTTTCTAAGACGAATAAAAACGATACCTTAATTGTCGAAAATCCATCCAGCCGTTTGGAAGATACGAGGTAATAAAGAAATTTACAAACATACAAGATACGCGCTCAAAATATAACCCTTCCTTGGCAGTCGGGTAAAAATGCTACGGTAGGTACTTATGTTGTTGATGGCCTTAAATAAATAAATAAATATTTACATAATAAATAATTATTTCATGTGGGGATGATTGTCACAGTTGCCACGCTTAACAGGCCTGGCAGACGCAGTTTCATATTATTTTGATTAGTGTAGGCATAGTATGTGATTAGTGTAGTGGTGTGTTGGGAGCAGCCAGGAGCAGCACTACTCCCAACTTGAGAGTAGTGCTTCTTTGCTTAGTGGTGGCGAGGAAGGTGTAGAGAGGGCGAGAGTTGTTCTACAAACTAGGAAAGACGCATCATTTTATTTTACTGTCTTAGCTAGTTAATTTTTAACATTTTTAATATATAATGGATTTCCGCAAAGTAACGCCTGATTCTGTTAATTAACTTCACTTTAAAAAAAATTACTTCTTACCAAAAATCCCACACTCCATGTACGAGATATTAAAAGCCCTGAACTCTGTGTAAATATCTTTAGTCAGAAGACCAAGCGGAGCCTGTGCGATGTGGTCGAGGCGGTGCTGGCCGACTTGCGCGTGGCCGACCCCGCACGCCGCAGCCACTATTGAATGTTTGAACAGAGAGCTGGAAGTTAATAGCAGTCATTTTAATAAAAAAAATTATAGAATGTAACAAACGAGCACAGTGTCCACAGATGGTAATTGGACGCTGTGGCTCGTAGACATCTACGTTTATCCGCGATAAGAATCCAAATGCATATGCGTTGTCACCCTTGAGGACTAAGATGGAAAGTCTTGTTTCTAGTAAAAAGGGTCTCCGGTTCCTTACGCTCACTATACGGAACACAGCAGCATTAAGCCGCTATTTTACGCTGGTATTCATTCTGTGAGAGCGTGGTTCTATCTCGTTCGAACCGACCCATTCGTGCTACAACTATACCAGTAATATAGCTGCAGCATGGCTCTACCACATAAAAAGTTTGGCAACTGAAGTTTGATTGAATAAAACAATTTTTTACGGACTTTACTACTGTTTTTTATTCTAAACTGCTAAACCGTAATATAGCCGCAGCGTGGCTCTACCTGTAATAACGAAATAATTACCTTTTATCAATCTCAGGGGGTTATTTGGATGTCATTCAGGCTTGAATAACTATTTTAAGGTCGGTCTTGAGAACCGGAGACCCTTATTACGGGAAACGAATTCTGTTTTAGTCCTCAGGTATAACAACGTATCTGCATTTTGATTCTTAAACTTGATGATAGATATGTGATATTAAATGATATATCCACTTAACTGGACTGTGTGCTCGTTTGCCACCTTTGTTCTACAAAAAAGAAACTTCAATTTTATTTATGTATATAGTAAATAAATAAAGAGACATTTTGTTACCTCATATCATACGCCCCGCAGCCCGGTACCGCCAGAGCGATCCAGACGTCACTGTCTCGCCCCAGGTCATAATATTCAAAGCCCGCGCGTGGAAATGAAGCACCGATTTGTCGAGCGCAAGATTTATCCTGATCAACATAAAACAATACATTGGATTTTTTTTAAAATATTATGTAATTTTAATATCTACCAGGTGGTGGAATGTTTTTAATAAAACTGAACACGTGGTAGAGCCATGCTGCAGCTATATTAGTTATATAGTTGTAGTACGAATGGGTCGGCTCGACCGGGGTAGGACCACGCTCTCACAGAATACCAGCGTAAAATAGCAGCTTAATACTGCTGTGTTTCGTATGGTGAGTGTAGAGAACCGGAGACCCTTTTTACTGGAAAAGAGGCATTCCTTCTTAGTCCTCACGGGTGACAAAGCATCTGCATTTTGATTCGTAAACGAAGATAGATGTAGATGTCTATGGGTCACAGTAACCACTTACCATCAGGTGGACTGTGTGCTCGTTTGTCACCCTATCTTATAAAAAAAAAGTGACAAACCAACTTACAGTCTACCCGATGGTAAGTGGCTACCGCAGAGCATGGACCGATACGACTTAGCGACCTTCGAGGAAAGAGCTTACTCCTTTTTAAAAGGCCGGCAACGCACCTGCAATTCCCTTGGTGCTGCAGTTAAAAAAAGATATTTGTAACAGTATATTCATAACTGAAGACGAGGTGACGATGAGTAAACCGTGTAGTGACGGTGAAAGAATATCATAGAGATTTAAAAGAATATCCACTACCCCATTTCGTATCTTATGTGTCGTAAAAGGCTACAGAAGGAAACTGAAGCGGTAAATGGGCAGCAGCATCTTTCTAATATTATTTCTAAATCACAAAAACAGACTTTGGCAAAAGTCCTCCCTAAGAGCCAATCTATGGTTGCGGCCTATGTGCAGCATTGGACTTTATAAGCTGTAATGGATGGATGGATGGAGGCTATGAGAATACAATTTCATAGTTGCCGGTGGGGATCGAACCCAGGTTGCTTGCCTGTGAAATTTACAGCGAGCGTTTAGCCCCTGAGCTACCATAACTCTCTATAAGGTAACTAGCTGGAAAAGAACTGTAACGGATGGATGAATGGAGGCTATGAGTGTGTGGTTATACAGGCAACCACGTTATCATGCTACATTATGATGCGGCCTCCGTTCAGTGGTCCTTGATAGGCTGCAATGAATGAATCAATCAATGATTAATATGCGCTCAATGTTGGCTTTACCGTATAGTGGTGGTGTAAGAATATCCACTAACCAAATACCATCCCGTGGGTATCGTAAGAGGCGACAAAGGGAAACAAATCAGAAGATGGGCAGCAGCGTCTTCCTAATAACGACTAAAAATAAAAAAATAACTGTGGTTGCGAACCCACTTGCCACAAATGGGACAACTGACACTTGCAACTGTGGCGAGTGTCCCCCTATGAAGCAATCTATGGAGGAATCCTATAATAATAATAATTTGATTTCAAGAAACTGTACAATTAATTCAAATAATGTCTTAATTTAAAATAGTCTACATATGGGCACCTGAACTAGGATAAACCTGTATGTGCTAATAGATTTTTTTTTACAATTTTTTTCTGTTTCTTATATAAAATGAATGACATACTAACTAACTAGGGTAATCGGTAAAATATATTATCATTAATTTACTTATGATTTTAATTAATTTAAAACAGTCAGCAACTTTTCCGTATCATCGTATGACATACATTGCAACCATGTCCGAATTACATTTTTACAATCTGCCATTTTTAATGGATACATGAACAAAATTGCATTGACTTGATTATACAAAAAAGGGCCAAGGAATGTAAAAAGTCTATGCATGAAAGAATGCCTTATTCTAATGTAAGTTTCAATGACTTTATCTTTGCGTCTTTTATCACTGACCTCTCTTCTGTAGGGCAATTTTAAGTGCTGTTTTAGTAACGTACTCATAACGAATAACTGGCGCACTGAGAGGACGTTATAGGATTTATATAAGAGATGGGACGGGAATAGGATAGGACGGAATATTGCAACTTTTAATACAGCTCTTTAAGTGCGTTCCAGTGGTAGCAGTGTAGTTTTAGGTGCTCCTCACCATGAGGTTATACAAGAGGTGAGAATTGATTGACATAATGCGGAATATACTTGCTTTACTATCTTAATATCAACAAAAGAACGAATCTTTTTTTAAAACAAACAATTGTTTAAGAGCTCTATTGCAGAGGTGGTCTATGTGGTTTTTAAATGGTAGAGTAGAATCTATAATTATTCCAAGGTATTTAATAGTTTTTGTATTAAAAATAACTGGGCAGTTACAGTAAGACTCTGTGACTGAGCAACATTTATATGCATAAATTTCTGGAATGGTTTTCTGTGCTTAGCAGTAAACATTTATAGGCTGTGACGGCTACTATTGGGTGCTCATGACAATTGTATGTGCATCGACATAGATTTTTTATCAACCAAAAACGTAACGACCTAATTGTACTTATACTTTCTCTCTCACATTCTACTAACTTGGATAAACTCGATAGTCTCTGCCAACTTCAGAGTCTCCTCATAGGGCAACCCCACGCTGGTAACAGAACAACGATCGCTTCTGAAGTTCTTCACAAAGTCCTTTAGGTAGGTCCCCAGCATGCCATCAACCCTGGACTCTTCACAGAACACCGAGTTACCAAGTGGGCCGGCCCAGAACGCTCTCTGGAGGAGGTCCAGAACACGCTGTTCAGGGTGGATTCTCAAGAGATTGTCTTTTATAAAAGGCTTAATGTCGGTGACTTCCCATTCATGGAAGCAGCATCTGTAGAAGATAACATAACTATTGAATAAAACTGTTTTACTTATTTTTCTATATACTTGGGTTATACTACTGCATGACTTCAAGATGCAGTAAGCTCATTTTGCGTAGTTCGGAACAAAATGAATAATTACAAAACTGAAGGCACTCCGGGTTAACTTTGATATAGGGACGTCAGTCACCTCAGTTCCCCATCACCATGGGTGCTGGAAAGCATCCAAAACGTCGGTAGTTAAAAATAAGTGCAATTAAACGCGATAAAACCTGTAAAATAGTTTCATTCAATGTGTAGTGTTCTTGGGTAAACATGATAAATCATCAGATAATAGAACTAACAATAAAGCATATTCATCACTAAACTCCTCTCAGTCTGTGAGGAGGTTAGGATGTGTAAAATTTGTAGACAAACTAAAGTTTTTATTATATAATATTAAACTAGTTATAAACATTGAGTTATATGTACCTACTACTACGTACTAGAGAAGCCATACCAAACATAAATTGTGTCCTACTCTATGGCTGAGATCTATAGACCGTACTTCGACTTTGCTCAGACTTTACTCTCGAGCTAAGATAATGTCGGTATTTATAGAGCTGACTTCGAACTCGTGCTGAGTGCGCGCTTAGCAAAGCCTAAGTCAACGATATCGACGACTTACGTAAAACTCAGGATTTTATTCAAAACCACCGTATTAATTTTAAATTGTTGTTTTTATGTTGCTCTAATTATTTATAACAATAAATAGGTAGTTTTAGACCGTCTTCTAGTTTTAAATAGCATAATTCCATTTTCTATTTACGTAATCTTATTTCGAATTTCTTAAAATATTTTTTTTTCTCTTTTTGATTTTGCACTCACCTCATGCGTTCCCGTTCTCATACACCCTTTTCTATTTCATGTAATAATAACTTATTTATGAAATAAAATTTTGCCTGTTTTCGATTTTAAAAATATATATTTTTTAATTTTATACGGTAATTTTGATTTTAAATATATGTATTTTTTTGTTTTATACAGTAAAGCCAAAAACATAATGCGTGGAGTGAGGCATCCATGAATATTTAGACTGTCTGGGCCTTAGCATTAGCTTAGCTTAATCTTAGCCCGATACATCTATAAATTCGGAATCAAAGTTTATGCTTAGCATATATTCAGCTAAGTTTTTCGTAAGCTAATTCTGAGCAAAGTCAAAGTACGATCTATAGATCTCAGCCTATGTCTTCGCGCATGCGCGGGAGTAGTAGTCGCGCATGCGCGAAGACTTTAATTTGAAATAAAATAAGCATAGAAATAAGATATTAATAGAAAATAAATATAAGAATTTAATATAAAATATCTTAATTTAATCTAACCAAACATATTTCTAAATAATATGTAATAATTATTATTTTATGGAATTCACAAATTTTCAATTTACGCAATATTTAGTTTGTACGGATTGCACTACAGTTCAGTTGAACATAGTCAATGTTCGGAATGGCTTCTCTAGTACGTAGTACATATAACTCAATGGTTATAAACTAATTTTTATTAATTTATTTTCTATTTCAGACTTATCGAGTGCTTTACAATGGGTGCTGTAAAGTACTGGAAACGTCGGGAATATAAGATAAAATCCGTAAAAACTAGTTTTATTTAAATGTGTTGTATTCGGGTGAACATAAGATATCATTATAAAAATATTAGTAATTATTAAAAAAAAGTATCTTAAATATGTCCTAGTCCATGATATTATAATCAACTCTTTTGCACAAATTTGACTGCCTTGTGAAGTGGTCGTAAGCGCGACTGGTGATCAAGTCCCGGTGTTGGTTTTTTAGGTTTTTTTTACTATTATAAGGTATCTACCAAGTTAGGTTAAGGTTAAGGTTACAGCCTATATAGGTCCAACTGCTGGGCACGGGCCTCGCCTCATGTCTGAGAGGGTTTTAGGGCAAGGAAATATCTGGCGCGCTGCTCCAATGCGTGTTGGCGAACTTCACATGTCTTCGAAATATTTTTTTTATTACTCAGACATGCAGGTTTCCTCACGATGTTTTCATTCACCGCCGAGCACGTGGTAAATCAGCACTTGAAATTGCAATTAACAATTTCATGGGTGCCGGCGGGGATCGTACCCGGGGTGCCCGCGTATACCACGTGCTCAGCGTTGAAGCAAAACATCTTGAGGAAACCTGCGTGTCTGATAAATGAGCTCACTCAGCTCACTTTATGAATATTTATCATGCTAAGTTCAAATGGGACTGTATCCGCGACTGGCTACCACCGCTACTAACTGGAGGGCTAATTTTCTACTCGCCCAAGGCACAGAATAAATAATAGCCCTAGACAAGTACAACCATTTGACGTGAAATTGCATTTTTTTTATAGGATAAGGGTGACAAACGAGCACACAGTCCACCTGATGGTAATTGGTTGCTGCGGCCCATAGACATCTACAACTATCCTCGTTTGCGAATCAAAATGTAGATGCGTTGTCACCCGTGAGGACTAAGATGGAATGTCTCATTTCGAGTAAAAAGAGCCCCCGGCCACCTGCACTCACTAAGCGAAACGCAGAGGTAAACCTCTACTTCACGCTGGCATTCTGTTAGGTCGTGGTACCACCCCGGCTTGAGCCGGCCCATCCGTGCGGCAGCAAAAGCTGCCGCGTGGCTCTACCACTGTTGTGTAGCATTCTTGACAATATAATGCAAAAAGTATGATAATTATAGAATACAATACAATATAGTTTGTACTTATTACTGTAAATGTTGTGTAAATGATATACTTATAAAAAATATAAAAACAATAAAAATACTAGATTTCGCTAAGGCCCCGGCGAGATTCGAACTCGCGATCTCCTGTTTACTAGACAGGCGCTTTAACCAACTAAGCCACGGCGCCGCTGACATAAGTTACAAATTTTATTATGGTTTTATTATCCGCTATCTTGGAAACAAATTTTTATAGATAACAATAAAATATACAATATTTATCACCATCATAATAGGTATTTATTTATGAAATTACCGTTCTGCAATACTGGCCATTTCAAATAAAAATAAATTTTGTTTGGCTAAGAATTCTAATTTTAAATTCATTTTATTTTAACAACATGACAGGTATTTGAATATTTTTCGTCGGCCACACCGTGCCGCTTGTGCACCGTCGTGACAAGCAACGCGGCACAAGCGGCACGCAACGTCAACGCCGTTTACGGAGTGAATACAAAGGAACGCATCACCTGTTATTGGTTTGCCCGCTTCCGTTCTGGTAATTTCGACCTGAAAAATTAATCCCGTGGTCGTCGGAAAACTTTGGTCGACAATAACTTATTAAAGGCGATTGTAGAAGCTGATGATACTCAATCTACAGGTGAATTAGCAGCAGCTTTCGACGTTAGCATCAAAACAATATTTTTTACGTCATATTGGCAAGGTAAAAAAGTTTGACAAATCTGCGCCCCACGAACTCAATGTTCGCCAGCGACAAGTAACGCGTACTTTTTTGAAAAGGCAGTTTACAAACACAAATTGCAAGGACAAACATCCAGACCCGGAACAATTATTTGTAGGCCACACAAATACTTGTTCCATGCAGGATTCGAACCTGCGGCCCACCAGAGCAGCAACTTATTACTAAGCCACTGCACCACGGAGCCGTCTTATTAGTATATACGTATTACTTTGATTAATAGAATTAAAAAATATAGAATAAATTACATTAACTTATTTCATAAAAAACGGCAATTTCATAGTTCAGGACCTAATAAAAAACTAAAACTACAAATGATTTCTTATATTTACAAAAAAAAACTAATTTCTTAAAACTTACTTAGAACTTATTTTTAATTCAAAAACTATTTTTAGAATTAAAAATAGTAAAAATGCGTAAAAAATTGTTTTATTCAATCAAACTAGAAGTGCGGTATAGTGCCAAAAACGCTGACACACAAAGATAGATGAACCTCATTTTGAAATGGTAGACTATAAAATATGTTGACGTTTGCCAAATTTTTTACGTGGTAGAGCCATGCTGCAGCTATATTAGTAGTATAGTTGTAGCACGAATGGTTCGGATCGACCGGGGAACGCCCACGCTCTCACAAAATACCAGCGTAAAATGACAGCTTGATACTGCTGTGTTTCGTATGGTGAGTGTAGAGAATCGGAGACCTATTTTACTGGAAAAGAGGCATTTCATCTTATGAGTTAGTATTAAATGTAGATGTCTATGGATCACAGCTGTGTCTCGTATGGTGAGTGTAGAGAACCGGAGACCCTTTTTACTGGAAACTGAGGCATTCCATCTTAGTCCTCACAGGTGACAACGCATCTACATTTTGATTCTGAATCGAGGATAGATGTATATGTCGATGGGCTATAGCAACCACTTACCATCGCGTGTATTGTGTGCTCGTTTATCACTCTTACCCTATAAAAAAAACACTAACGTAATTTTAATTTCTTACTTCGAAAAATAAAGTTTTAATTTCATTTGAATGACTATACGAAGCCTTTGAGCGAGAAAAGAATTACTTTCGATAAGTAGGTAAATAAAATAGAATACTATGATACATAGAAAATAAAATAATTATAATGTATTATAACATATTTTGGGTTTTAGGATATGGACTAATATTAGCTATTTTAAATGAAAGTACATAATATTATGTATATTAAGTATAGCATGGTCAAAAAAGATATATTATTATTGTATGGTGGTGGCACAAATGAAGCCACCGCACCATCTTGTAGATATCATAACATACTACTTAGGAAGATGCTCGGAATGTCATGATATGGTCTTCGTCCGTCTAGTCTGCAGCATCAAATAAAAAAAACAACTAAAAATAAAAAACTGTTGCTAACCCGCCTGCGCGAGAATACTATGACAGAATTCATATATTATTATATGAAAGGCCTATGATCGGCAGTGGACTTTTATAGGGTGTAATGGATGGAGGACTATGGGAGAAGATCAAGTCCAGAACGAGACAGTTAGCAGACTGATTAGGATAATGTTTAGCTGTATACCTGACTGCCGTGTCGAGCAGATAGTATTTTAACTCTGGGAAATCATCTATCGTGCAGCGTAAAGTAAACGCCATGCTCTGACGATCTGAGGTGCAGGTCAGGAAGGCCCCACGCTGATGCAACAGTCTCATTTTTCCGTAGCCCGTGTATGCGCATCCCGACGACGCCGACATTGCCCGTATGAAGTGGGTAGCGCCAAGATTATTGTCCTGTTCATAGCGCGAGCCAGCCTGAAAAGGAATCTGGGATATTACACGTTTAGAGGAACTTTAGGTAGAACCACGCTGCAGCTATATTATGGTTGTAGCACGAATGGGACAGCTCTATCGGGATAGCATCACGCTCTCATAGTCCAGCGTAAAGTAGCAGCTTAACATTGCTGTGCTTCGTATGGTGAGTGAATAGAACCGGAGACCCTATTTAGGGTTCCGTACCCAAAGGGTATCCAATGGGACTCTATTGCTAAGCCTTCGCTGTCCGTCCGTCTGTCAGCGGGCTGAATCTAATGATCCGTAATAGGTAGACAGATGAAATTTTCATAGAATGTGTACTGTTTTCGCTATAATTACAAATAATAAAAATTAAAATAAATTAAAACTTAAAAGGGGCTCCGCTACTAGAAACGTGTATTACGATGGTATGGAACCCTTCATGCACGAGTCGACTCTTCACGCCGACTCGCGTGAAGAGTTGACTCGTGACTCATCGTCGGTTATTACTGGATACGAGACATTCCATCTCATCAGGGGTGAAAACGCATCTGCATTATGATTCTTAATCGAGGATAAATGTATATGAGTAGATAGATTTTTTTTAATAAGACTTAGGGTGACAAACGAGCGCGCAGTCCACCTGATGGTAAGTGGTTGCTGTGGCCCATAGACATCTACATCTATCTTCGTTAGCAATATGCAGATGCGTTGTCACCCGTGAGGACTAAGATGGAATGCCTCTTTTCCAGTAAAATGGGTCTCCGGTTCCCTCCAATCATCATACGAAACACAGCAGCATTAAGCTGCTATTTTACGCTGGTATTCTGTGAGACTCTGACCCATTCGTGATACAACTATACTACTAATATAGCTGCAGCATGGCTCTACCACGTGTAGAAAATTCTTTTTTTCACGTGTAGAAGATTCTTTTGGGCTTACGTAATGACAATGTTTCCCAGTATTCTAAATTTAAATAGCTTTCTTATCGTCAAAAGCATAGCTCCCGAATTAAACTAGCACTATAAGTATTCGATTTTAAATGACCCGAATTTTCCATCTTTATTTACTTCGATACTTCAGGGTATGGAACTTTTTATTCCTTTCATCCTGATTTCGTAGCTGAGAGACCCAATATCGGTTTAGAGCCTACTAATCCAACCATGCAGTCGCACAAAACTACTAGTATACAATATAGGTAGTAATTTGAAAAATATAATTTGTAATAATTTTGTTGAGTTATAAAGACATGAATTTAAGATTTTCACCTGAAACATAATAGTGCAAGCGGTTATTTGAGCGCCTAGGCGTTTCGCAGCCGCAACTTTGATGCCATTGAGCATCTCAGTGCGCTGCACCTCCAAAGATCCGTAGACAGGGTTTGTCAAATATTTAGTTAAATTATTGATGCTGGTGGACAAATATCTGACGCCCAAACATTGATTTATCAAATTCATTGTTTTTAGCAATTTGTCCATTTTTGTAAACATTGTCAGTTGTCAGTTTGTTGACATTATATATAATGTCTAGATGTCAAGTTTATTTGTTTGTGATATACAGTATTTTATTATATACAATATATTAAAAACTATAATTTAAAAAAAAACAACTAGTGAACAGTGCCAAGAACGCTGGCTGCGTTTCCCCGCTGAATAGTTATACTTAGCCTTTGAGCGAGAAAGGAACCAACCCTCTTGTCACCAGCAGCAACGACCAGCCGCGGATAGAGTTCCTTTAGGAACTTCACCGCATGTGAACCCCACGGACCGATAGCCTCTATCTCTTTTAAATGGGGCCCCCATATATCTAAATTAGCAAGCGGATTTAGTTCTGCAGCATATGTAAGAAAGATGAAGTCTCACAGATGTTGAGACAGCTAGATTAGTGTATTTTGGTTACTTTCATAGCGTAATGTCTTATGGAGTTTTGCTATGGGGTAATGCGACTGATATTGAAGCTATATTTATTTTGCAAAAGAGAGCCGTTCGTGGGATCTATAACCTAAATTGTATAGAGTCCCTCACACAAAAATTCAAAGAAATAAACATATTAACTTTGGCATCGCAATATAATTATGAAAATGTAATGTATGTACATAAAAACCTAAATAGCTTTAATAAAAATAAGGATGTGCATACTTTAAACACTAGGAACAAACATAAGCTTGTAATGCCAGTTACTAGACTCCACAGAATCAGTAATTCATTTATGGGGCAATGTATACGCTTTTACAACAAAATCCCAGAACATATTCAAAGTTTATCAATAAATAAGTTTAAAAGTTTTATTAAAGAAAAACTGTACTAAAAGGGTTGCTCCAACCCTACCCCACCTGCTTTTGGGGAGCTCAAAAAAGAATTAGTGGACTGTGTTCGTCAGGAGATAACGGATTTCAAAAAGAAAATGGCATCCCAAACACGGTTTACATATGCTCAGGCTGCAGCAACGGGCAGTCACAATAATACCATCTTGTCGAGTGGCAGGCCTGCACCGCCGCCTCCTCCAGTAACCAAGCCCGCCATTATCGTTTGTACCACTACAAATGCAAAATCAAGACAGGAGGTTATAGAAACTTTTAAGAAAAATATTAGCTATAGAGAATCGAATTATGCACCTTCTCGTATACAACCTGTGTCAAATAATAAAATTCGTATTGAGTTCGATAACGATATAATATCCAGGAATACATGAATGAAAACAACCCCTGGGAATAAGGTGATCGCCACCATGCTGGTTCTATGAAAATCATCTAAAAATTGTATAAAAGAAATTATTGTTAAGTGAAATATGTTTGAAAAAAAAGTCCCGCTGGGTTTCTTGCTGGTTCTTCCCAGGACAGATGTATTTTCCGAACCAGCAGCGGTAAAAAAATGACTTTCAATAAGTATTATGTAATAATCAATATTGAATAAAAATATTCTATTCTATTCTATTATATTCGAAATTTGGGCGGTGCTGCAGTCCCTTCAGCGATGCCAAGTTGACTGTCGGTATATCGAAGTGTTGAAGTGCTTGCACAGGAGGGCTACGATGGCTATCCGAGTACAGAACCAGAGTACGAAACCTATCCAATTGCAGAGAGGTGTAAAACAGGGTGACGTCATATCCCCGAAACTGTTCACCGCTGCATTGGAAGACGTTTTCAAGCTTCTGGACTGGAAAGGATATGGTATCAACATCAATGGCGAGTACATCACTCACCTTCGATTTGCCGACGATATAGTCCTTATGGCAGAATCGCTGGAGGACCTATGCACTATGCTCAATGACCTCAATAGTGTTTCCCAACGGATAGGTCTTAAGATGAACATGGACAAAACAAAGATCATGTTTAATGTCCATGTCACACCTATGCCGGTAATTGTTGGGAACACTAAGCTCGAAGTTGTTGACGAGTATGTTTACCTGGGACAAATAGTCCGACTAGGTAAGTCCAACTTCGACCGAGAGATCAATCGACGGATTCAACTCAGTTGGGCAGCGTTCGGGAAATTACGGCACATCTTCTCGTCAGGTATACCTCAAAACTTGAAAACGAGACTGTACACCCAGTGCGTGTTGCCAGTGATGACATACGGAACTGAGACGTGGTCCTTCACTGCTGGCCAGAAGAGGAAGCTCAAGGTCGCTCAGCGAGCTATGGAGAGGCCTATGCTCGGAGTTTCTCTGCGTGATAAACTCAGAAATGAGGATATCCGCAGTAGAACCAGAGTAACCGACATAGCCCAACAGATTAGTAAGCTGAAGTGGCAATGGGCCGGCCATATAGCTCGAAGAACCGACAACCAATGGGGAAGGAAGGTTCTCGAGTGGCAGCCTCGTACCGGCAGGCGAAGTGTAGGGCGTCCCCCCACTAGATGGAGTGACGACCTGGTAAGATATGCAGGAAGTCGATGGATGCAGGTGGCTCAGGACCGTGCTTTGTGGCATTCTTTGGGGGAGGCCTATGTTCAGCAGTGGACTTGTGAAGGGCTGTAATGATGATGATGATGATGATTCTATTCTATTCTAGTCTTTGTGATTGCGTGACTTCAACCTCTATGTATGTAATTAGTAATAACTCTTAGAACCTCTTTACCGGCCGGCATTAAAATGCGTATTACTACAATTTAAGCAAAGGAAGTGTAACATTTTGTCAGAATCTGTCTTTCCTATTTTCTCTCTTTGTTTACCAACAATTGCTAACACTAACACATCAAATTAGTACAATGATTTAAAAGTATTAACAATAGTGCTACAATTACTTAAAGGTAAACTCCGCATGCACATAACTTTATAAATACATAAACTAAAAAACTGTAAGTTTTTTTTTTATAGGATAGGGTGACAAACGAGCACACAGTCCACCTGATGGTAAATGGTTGCTGTGGCCCATAGACATCTACATTTATCCTCGTTTGCGAATCAAAATGCAGATACGTTGTCACCCGTGAGGACTAAGATGGAATGCCTCTTTTCCAGTAAAAGGGGTCTCCGATTCTCTACTCACCTCACTCACCCTACGAAACACAGCAGTATGAAGCTGCTATTTTACGCTGGTTTTCTGTGAGAGCGTGGTCCTTCCCCGGTCGAGCCGATCCATTCGTGCTACAACTATACTACTAATATAGCTGCAGCATGGCTCTACCACGAAACTCTATTCCTCAACTAAAATTAAAAATATATCTATTAGTAAGAATAGTGCTATATAAACTAAAAAAAAATTAAAATCTGTTTTACTTTACGCTATTAACATAAACATTATCGGAGACACTTAGAGAATATTCTGGGTGAGTCAAAGGCAATGTCTATTTGATCACTGTATCTATTAATAACTTTGCATAATCTAGCTTCGGAGAATTACTTCCCAATACAGTTCTTCTTAAAGACGGTGCATGCTCTGATTTCAAGCCTATCAACGCTGGTGTTCCACAAGGCTGCGTGCTATCACCAACGCTGTTTCTCCTGCATATCAATTATATGTTGCTAACTGGTAGCATTCATTGCTATTCAGACGAGAGCACTGGTGATGTCTTATATACCAGCCGTACCAATATTTCTCGGGAAAACGTCGCTGAGTACCGGGACAAACTTGTATCTGAAGTCGAGTCTTTGCTTAACAAAGTCTCGGATTGGGGCCGACTAAATCTAGTCCAGTTCAATCCCCACAAGACACAAGTTTGCGCGTTTACCGCTAAAAAGAACCCCTTTGTCGTATCTCCTCAGTTTCAAGGCACTCCCCTTGCTGCCTCGGCTAGTATCGGAATCCTTGGCGTCGACATATCGAATAATGTGCAGTTTCGTGGTCACTTGGAAGGGAAGGCCAATTTGGCCTCTAAAAAGCTTGGCGTGCTCAGCAGAGCGAGACAGTATTTCATGCCGGCACATCGCTTGCAACTTTACAAAGCGCAAGTTCGGCCCCACATGGAATACTGTTCTCATCTCTGGGCCGGGGCACCCCAGTGCCAGCTCCTTCCACTTGACTGCATCCAGCGCAGAGCGGTTCGAATCGTCGACGACCGAGTTCTTTCTGATCGGCTCGATACACTGGCACTGCGTAGAGATGTTGCATCTCTTTGCGTATTTTATCGCATCTATCACGAGGAGTGCTCTGAGGAATTGTTCGGACTAATTCCAGCCGCTCAATTTCACCATCGCACATCGCGACAAAACTTGCGTTACCATCCATACCATCTGAAATATTGGCGGTCCACCACTGTGCGATTTAGAAGAAGTTTTCTCCCTCGTACAACTTCCTTGTGGAATCAATTACCACCAGCGAATTTTCCGGACCGATACGACTTAGGAACCTTCAAGAAAAGAGCTTACACCTTTCTAAAAGGCCGGCAACGCATCTGCAATTCCCCTGGTGTTACAGTTTTTCATGGGCGGCGGTAGTCACTTACCATCAGGTGAGCCGCATGCTCATTTGCCCTCTTCTATAAAAAAGTGGTGGTTTTTGTTTAGCGATTATAATCTGAGTATTGTCAAAGCAAGAGTGAATAAGCTTTTGTCTGGCTGAGTCAGATACTTTACTGCCTTCGAACCTCGATAAATATATTGTAATGTAAGTATGCAAGCATTGAAGTATGGTAGAAAAAAAATTCCAAATTACTAACACATCTAGATGAAAGTATATGTTTCTCACCAACATCCTTCCCAGTTAGCTACCGTGGGTAAATCTTTGTTTAAGAGAGCACGTGGGATCTGTGACAGAAACACCTGGCCGTCGAGCTCCAACACGTCACGCAAGTTTTGCACGAAAACAAGCTTCGGGTCCCGCGCCTACGTCACAGTGAACGAATGAAGCCAGCCACAGTCTAGCGAGTGCCTGCTGTACTGCCATATGTCAGAGGTGTCACGGACAAGATTGGCTATATGCTTCAAGGCGCCTAAGAAGATAAGTCAGTTTTTACCATCAGTCAAGTATAATGTCCCTCTGCAAGATGCAGGAGTGTACAAGCTTGATTGTGAATGTGGTCTCTCTTATATAGGACAA